AATATTACATGTTAATAACTTGATTGGAATTATAACCTTGAATTGACAGTTTGATACTTTGAAAATTTTGAGCCAGCCCTACCCCCAAGGGCTGTAGGGTGGGGCTCAAAGGAGTCAGTGTGCTAAAATTTCTTCATTTTCCTTGTTAAGAATCAGAGGTGCTAGTTTCAAATCCTTTTTAGTCTGAAATCTGTATGCTAGATATTGAGTAAGGTGGTTTTATTGTTTTTTGTCACTTTGAATAATATTTCTGTTCATGTTAAAAACAAAATCAACTCTCTGTATAAATATAACAGGTGACCGTTAAGGCCCATGGGCCTCTTGTTTATTTCTTTTTTCTTTTTTCTTTGTTCTTTGTTCTCTTACAGATTTTAAAGTTTTTCAAACTCAGTTACAAAGAGAAATATGTCTTATATACACGACAATTATAAAATCGATACAAAATTAACAAAAAGACAGCAGGAATCGATTTACCAAGTTAAGAGTTTTGCATATAGGAATGTCTCTGTTTGTAGATTTCAGTAAATACGGTACTAGGGATAATGGTAAGTGACTAGTTGTTTTAGTTTGGCACGTTTTTGTACCCTTACAGTTTGTGCAAACGTTTCAATTTGTAGGAAGCATGTCGCCGAGGTCTTGTTTAATCACAATACACCGACACTTGAAAGCAAGCGTCTGATTGAACACAGCTGCCACTTTTTTTGGTACTTTTTCGTTGGTTTTTAACGTCATGCACTAATCAACTACTGCATAAAATGGAATTGCTTTGATGTTAATGTACGATTTTATTGCATCATCATATAAAATGGCATTGTAAGTTAGTACTCTATTGTATTTTCACTCTGGTGGGTGTTACACATTACATTATACATATACATTCACATCAATTAATACGCTTCGAAACTTAAAGACAATACAGAATTATCCAAATACAGTATCCTATTAGCGACACTACTAGCCTACATTTTATGTCAGTCCATCATAACATGGTATTTTTGCGATTCACAACGTGAATCCATTAATTCTAAGTCTAGTTAAGCTATAGTGTTTATAAATAATCGTGTTGTTTACATAGTCTCAATATCCAATGTTACATTGTATGTACTGTATGCACTGGATTAGATAGATACTGTCATAAATCTGATAAATAAGAAGACCTATATAGTTACATTACAATCTGAATAATGCAAAAAATACAATTTTGTGTGCTTATCTCTTTGTCCTTATTCGCGATGCACGCGTATTTACCTGGTGTATATAAACTTTGACACCTATATCGCCCCAATGCTTAAGGAACATTGAACAATAGACCACCACATTAGATATGATAATGAAGAAGTGCTCCACTCTACTCAGTAATGCATTTTATGAAGGATTTTCTTCTATATATTGAAGATGAAACAACCAAAACGAAGTGTCCTGACTTACAATTTCTTCCCTGGTAAATATACTTTTCTGACAATGATAATTGTATTTTTTCCGGAAACCTTGTAGACAATAGGTTGGCTCTCATTTTGCTGCTAATGTTTTATAATTCCTGAATAGCAGTATTGGTAAAGTATATGATTTGAAGTGTTGTTCGGGGTTTGACTTCTGCACATCTATTTTTTTTCAAATATTCAAATTTCGAAAACTTTAAATTCTGCAAAACGCATCGCATCCTGTGGTTTGTATAAGTATAATGCTGAAGAAAAGGCCATAAGCATTTATTATGGCAGCATCAAAGTAAATGCATTGTTACATTTGACTTGACCACCAGTTGAAGTTATTTTTGCTTTTTTGCTGTATCAGTTATTCGTTGTCTTAGTATCCCGAAATCTTTTTTTTGTTCCCTTGCGATAATACGCAAAAGGACGATTTCAGTCCTTTCGAAGACTCGTATCTTTTACTTGATTTAATCCCTAGCTACCTTTAAGGTAGAGAGTCTTCAAGTATGGAAGCTGTGTTTACATTATAGCCTGTTCTGTACATACGCTTAACTCTCTCCAAAAGGCTTTATTATAGATACATGTATGTTTGTATTTCGCAGTTTAGAGAAAGCATGCTTCTTTCTAATGCAGAGCTTTGAAAGCTTCATCGATTAAGCATTTTTTGGTGGTTTGTTTTTCATTTTATATTTTATCTATGCTTAATAATTGTATTACATGTATTTAACAACGGAGAACAAGAATTTACATATATTCAGTTCTGTCCCCTTTTCTGATTATTTCAAGGATCAATAAATACCGATATCGATTCAAAATGCACTTACGCCGATTTCAAATTAAATGCAACTATTCTAAGACTTGAGTTATTGCAAGTAATTTCTTATTAGTAGTGTGAAACATTGAGAATTGCAACCTATCTATGTTAGATACTGTCAGACTGTGTTTCTATACAAACAAGTGATTACGAAACAAATGCTTGTTTCTCAAAATATTTTTGTTTAGAAGTAAAAACAACAACAACAACGTATAAATGAATTCTTTCATAATTCTTTAAATTTTATTAGCATGTGCATCAGTTTCGAAAACATACATCAACAGCGAATAGGTCTTTTAGTCAGATACATGTATACACCACTTTCGTTGGGTATAATATACACAAATTTTACTCGATGTCATATGAATCAATTATGCTTATTTGAGAATGTAGGCTTCTATATGCTGTGTTTAAGGATATACCACAAGGACGTGTTCTTGTGACAAAGGAACCATGCATTGTGCTTGGAACAGACCGAACTTTGCCAATTGTCAGTCCCTTGTTCTCGTCCAGATATACGATCAGGTAGAGTAAACGGAAAATTAATTGTTGAGTTATTAGCTTACCTGGTCCGAAGGACCAAGGTTAGCTTATGCCATACCGTGGCGTCCGTCGTCCGTCCGTCCGTACGTCCGTCCGTACGTCCGTATGTCAACAATTTCTTTAAACGACTTCCCCTTCTTAACCACTGGTTGGAATTGAACTAAATTTGACTGGAAGCACCCCTAGGTGGTGGGGATTCAAAATTGTACAAATGGTTGAGCTGAGCCCCCAGGGGGCTGAGGGGCGGGGCCAAAAGGGGTCAATTTGCCCATATTGCTTTAAGCAACTTCTTCTGTAGAACTGTGCACTGAATATCAATCATAGTTGATCAAAAGCATTCCTTGGAGGCAGGGGTTTAAGATTGTACAAATGGTGTGGCTGACCCCCCAGGGGGCTTAGGGGCGGGGCCAAAAAGGGGATTTGGCTATACTGCTTTAAGCAACTTCTTCTCTGGAACTAAGAAGTGTATATCAACCATATTTGACTGGAAGCATCCCTAGGTGGTGGTGATTAAAAATTGTACAAATGGTGGGACTGACTCCCCAGGGGGCTAAGGGGCGGGGCCAAAAGGGGGCAATTTGGCTATATTGCTACAAACGACTTCTTCTGTAGAACTGTGCACTGGATATCAATCATATTTGATCAAAAGCATTCCTTGGAGGCAGGGGTTTAAGATTGTACAAATGGTGTGGCTGACCCCCCAGGGGGCTTAGGGACGGGGCCAAAAAGGGTATTTGGCTATACCGCTTGTAGCAACTTCTTCTCTGGAACTAAGAAGTGGATATCAACCATATTTGACTGGAAGCATCCCTGGGTGGTGGTGATTAAAAATTATACAAATGGTGGGACTGACTCCCCAGGGGGCTAAGGGGCGGGGCCAAAAGGGGGCTATATTGCTATAAACGACTTCTTCTGCAGAACTATGCCATGGATATTGATCATATTTGGTCGCAAGTATTCATGGGAGGCAGGGATTCAAAATTGTACAAATGGTGGGGCTGACCCCCCGGCTAAGGGGTGGGGCCAATAAAATGTATTACATGGAAATGGTTGAGATCCCCACCATATAACCATATATACAATTGCTGAGTATAAAGAGAAGAATGCACATTTGCTTCCAGGATGTCCCTAGGGTCTGGCCCCACCCTTGGAGACATAGTCCCTGGGCCATAACTTTAAAACGGTTGAGATCCCCACCCCAAAACTATATATACAAATGCTGGGCATAAAGAGACGAATGCAATCATGATATCAGAATAGACCCTGGGGTCTGACCGAACCCCTNCTTTGGAGACTTAACCCCTGGGTCATAACTTTGAAATCCACAAACTATATGAACAAATGCTTGGCAAAAAGAGACAATTGCAGTCACGATATTAGAATCGATCCTGGGGTCTAGCCACAAATCTAGGGACCTAGTTTCTGAGTCAAGGTTTGGAAACAGTTGAGATCCCAACCCCATAACCATACATAAAATTGCTGGGCATGAAAAATCTAATATAGCTATGCTACAAGGATTGGCCTTGGGGTCTGGCATATTCCCTTGATCTCATTTGGAGAATAGCTTGCCATAATTGCTTAGGTATCCAGGTGAGCGATACAGGCCCTCTGGGCCTCTTGTTGTACTTTCCTACGCAGTACATATTGTGTAAGAATTATGCGACATCGGTAAAATGACTTATAACGTAAGTATGTGGTATTTACGGTAGTTCATGGCATGTTGCTGAGACAAAACTTAATCAAAACAAATATTCAATATCACAATGGAACGAACGGATAGAAAAACTACCATCAGTTATTAAAGAAAGTGATGAATTACTCATATATTATTGGAACATAACTAACTTTATAACGATATCTTATAAAAGATTTTTGTACTTGTACAGGTTATGCAATCGCGTAGCATCCGTAGTTGGCCGTCTGTTTCTTCTTTATAGCAGTTTGGGATAGAGTGGTGATAGTATGGCGAGAATAACGCATTTGGTATTTTCATGATGACAGTACATTCGTGATATCAAGTGTCTGTAAATGAGGCATGATGTCTAGGTCATTGGTTTAGGAAAAAAAGCATCACGACGGAGTCAATATCCTATTGATTGTTCAAAAATTGTTACATCTTGATCTGAAAAGTGTCAAGTTGTTATGAATATATAAGTTCACAAATAATCTTGGGTATTAAACATTAACAAGTCAATTTAAAATATATAAAGCATTACAGTACGCTGTTTCCAAGAATTTACTTTTAGTGACAAAAAAGTTTGGAACAAAGATAATTATCACTCTTGCGATTGTTACTGTACAGTGGCATTCTGCCATTAAAACATATCATGTGTAAATGACTGCTTGGAACAATATAAGATAACATATATTCCGTTTCAAAACAGCGTGGATTCGCTATATCGCCGAAATAAATTATTTTCTGACTATTTTGCAGGAAACATCAGTAGTCTTGTGACGATGAAGTGTTTCTATTAAGATTTTTTTTTCACTGTTTAACGACGTAGTTACATGAATCTGTTCCATTTAAGTTCAAATGTCAAAAATAAAATCGCATTTTTTATTTCGACCAAGAAAGAGAGCGTTATTGTCCGTTTATTGTTTTCAGTTTGAGATGTTGCGCCTTGGGTACCAGCTTGCCTCAGTAAAATCAATTTATGAAGAACTAAAACAGTTTGTTGCAAAACGGAAAAACAGTTTATATGCTGGGGATGTTGAAATGGCCTCAAGTCTCCTCTACGAGCTCCTACGCCTCGTCAAAAATGTTCCAGTGCTGGCAGGGCGCGGTGAAAAGATTTCAGTAGTGGTAAAAAAAAAAAAAAAAAAAAAATCGTACCTTTAAATTGTCTTTCCCTTCTGGCTGTTCTTTCCTTTCTTTTGTTGTTATTTAAATTTCGGTTAGCCTGTTGTCAAAATAATTCGACAAAATTGGTCGTAATGATACCATGCCTATGTTTTTGAAGCTCTTTGGCACGTCAAAGTTGCCTCTAATTGGCCCATCATCTGTAGACACCACCTTCTATGCCTTTTGCTATCGCGAGATAGTTAAACCTTCCACAAATTAAGAATCTATACTTTTTGGACATTGTTTATGTATTTGTTTTCTATATTATAAAACCGTCACTTTCATTGTTAATATATGCGTTGTCGTTTGATTTGGAGTTGGTGCATGTAGCTGACAAATTTCGGTTTACTTCAACCTTCATGAATTAATGTTTCAAGAACGCTTGCTGAAACGCAAGAAAATTATCGATTTCGCAGTATCTTTATACTAAGCCGGTCGTATGACCGTTGTAATTTTTACGAGATTAACGTTTCATGTGCCCATTGTATTTACACAAACTATTGCCTTTACTTGACTTAATGAAATATCCTTTATAGAACCACTCTTGAATTTCGGCAAACATCGTTTTCTTTATTTTATTTAAAGCACCTCCGGGTTGTAATCACTTGGAGAAATTGATAGCTGTCTCAATGTTGTTCTACGGGATTATATTTGACGAAATGCTTCCATCTTTCAGTCGATAGTGAACTTATTGGATCTCATGCTGTCTGAAACGTCCGAGGCGTCAGTAGAAGAACTCCAGGTTTGACTTCTTTTAATTTTACTGAAGATCAGAGGCATGTTTCTGACAACACTTAACACAAAATTAATTGGATCATAAACTTTACATTAGGATAATTGTTTTTGATTCATTATAATCATATCTGAAGCTGATGCCATTTAAGGACGTTTATCATATTATTAAATATTTTTGTAAAACAGTAATAATATTCATAAATATAAAGCATTTAATGAACTTTTTAGTTACCTTTGAATCATCTTGCTTTTCAAAGGTACTGCAGGTAGGGGGCACTTTTATAAGGACAGTCGACCTACTGGCCAGTGGTATTACCTCCTGTCTTGATTTTGACATCCGGATGCCGATTTACTCCAACCTAATTGGTAATCATTATATGTTAACATGATTTTGCATCAATGACACTATCGGCCATAATGCTATTAACACTAGCTTTGACTTTAATCATGAACGCATTTTACTTGTAAGTTTGTCACTTATCTTTAATGAGAGGAAGGATACAATAAATTGCTCAAATGACTACGATCTTTTAGTACTGTTCCGTCAACAATGTTTCACTATCAGAGATTTTTTAAATTTAAAAACCAATAATGCTAATTGTGTTTAATATATTATTAATATTTTCATCAAGTACTGTCAAGTATGACAATGTTGGCCTTTTTCTCAATTATGACAATGCTAGTCACAAATTTTCCACTCTCTAAGACACAAATGAATGCATTTATTGTAGAAATCAAAGTTAAAAAGAACAATGTCGGCATTGACGGAAGTCACTCCACCCTAGAACCAAATATGCCATCTAGCAGAGAAGGAATGTATGGGATAGCTGGTGCCCGAGACACGAGAGAGACCATGTCGGCAGCAGGTTGTAGTCATAAATTGGCACAATAGTGTTCATTGAGTCGAAAAATATACAGCTCTGTTGAATGATAATTGTTAATATATGTTTATTCTTTTATATCGTAGGTCAAATTTGTTGTATTGCTTATTTCTCAAATTATCGTGACAATATAATCTTATTTTAAAATTATCATAACTAACTTCATTTTAAAACAAAACTTTATCGTCGCCAATAGACAAATTATCATATATTGAAATAACAAGCACAATTAAGTGTTCAGACAATGTAACAAGTGACAGTTGTTGTGATCAAGTTAAGTAGTTTTCAAAGCACATCTTGAGATGAAAAGTCAACGATGATTCTATAATAGGTGTTTCTTTATTGTAGGTATAGATAACCCGATGGATGTGATGTATGTACAGTACACTACACTAGAATCAATCCTCAGGCAAAAAACAACACATACAAGGTATTTATAAATATTCAGTATTTACCAGTTAAATACTAGATAACTTAAGTATGACCTTGTGGTGAACAAATCCTTTTATATCACTTTTCATTCTGAAGACATCCATGAACCAGTTATGTTTCCATGTTACATCAGTCACTAATAAGGTCAATAGAGTCATCTCCCTTTAAAGTTCTCTTCACTTTTACTGTATCATGTTTTCCAATTAATTGTTATCGACTATAACCTGATCTTGAAAGAATTATTAGAAATTCTTTAAATGTTGTGGTTTCCGACATTTCTTCCTTATTACGTTAAAAAAAAATGTTGGATGTTTGCGCTAATGATAATTGTGTGTTATGGACCTTTCGCTATCATGTAGCATTCGCCTTTATTAGGAGGGGGCGGTAAATAACACTATGATTAATGTACAAAGAAAACCTCTTATTTATCGTTTTATTCAACAGCTTGGATACCAATTTGGCTCTCTCCGACATACATGCTGTCTTTCCTTTTCCCACTGACCACTTTGCAAAAAGAAAACTCAACACCGAATTCACTGTTTTTCATAAAAATCAGGTATGTCTCGGGTAGGGATGTTTCCCTTTATAACTAAAACTTTATCATCATTACCACAACGTATCAAGTCGTACTTTTAATAGACCGATACTTCGATATATTATACACGATTCATTTCAGTTACAAATTCGTTAAATACGCACACTTGAATTTTTATCATGTGGCAAATATTATCTTTAGTTCTCCTTCTCCGCCATGTGAATGCTATGCCAATTTCATTAAAGAAAATGGATGAGGAACAAGTACATGACGATGCATTAGTATTTCGCTGTTCACAAAATTAAAAAAACAATATTGTTTAACCTTGGTATGCAAGTACATGTTGAAGATAATATATCTGTTTTGTTTCCACTTCAGTCCGATATCAAAATCTTCAACAAGACGATGTGTCTCAGGTGGCAATTTGATGACAGGTAAGTGAATCATATTTCAATAAAGCAACACACAAGAACAGACAGTATTGGTTCTTTGTTTCACACTCTCACACGGACAACTACAGTTTGATAATCCTAACTTTATAAAACAAATCGGTATGTTATTGACTAATGATTGTTTTTCCTTTTCCAAAATTATTATATTTATAAATATGTTTTCAATTTTAGCCAGCAAGACAAAGGGAAATGGACAGCGGATGGTTGTAGTGTGGTTAAGACGACCTTGATAACTACTGTTTGTAACTGTCGTATTCCAGGACATTTTCTGGTAGTGGCTATGGAAAAAAATATTACAGTAAATATATTTTTATGAATTGTAATCATCAGTAATCTATTCTCTTTAAAAAAGTTTTTCTCCGTCTCAGATTGGTTCAATTCGTATTCAAAATTTGTATATACATATTTTCTGACGGGATAGGAGACTTTTAAATCCACTGTATACTGAGTATTAATATTACCAAACTTGTGATATTGTTAAAATATTCCTTATTTATTTCAGATTTCACCAGTTTTTGACCAACAAACATCGAATATCCTAATTCTAGTTGGAAGCATCTTAATGTTGTGTGGGGTAGCTGCCACACTCAGTATATATCTTTTAAAATGGAGGTAAGGTCTTTTCCGTTCCTATATGATCGGAAAAAGTGAAACGAAAGTTACGACTTTTGCATTTTTTCTGAAGTTTCTAACCAAGCATTCAATTACATTTTTAGCTCACCTGGTCCAAAGGACCTTCGTGAGCTTATGCCATACCGCAGCGTCCGTCGTCTGTCCGTCCGTCCTTCCGTCCGTCAACGTTTCCTTTAAAACGCTACTTGTCCTGAACGGCCAAGTAAATTTGACTAAATTTGGTCTGGAGCATCCTTAGGCCAAGGGCTCTCAATTTTGTATAAAAGGTTAGAGTGGCCCCCTGGGGGCAGAGGAGCGGGGCCCAACAGGGGAAATATAGGTAAAACATTTAAAATCCTTCTACCGTAGGGATTAAGGGATTGTATCCTAATATAGTCTGGAGCATCCTTGGACCAAGGGGACTCAATTTTGTAGAAATGTTGGGTGTGGCCCTCCTCGGGCAGAGGGGCGAGGCTCAATAGGGGAAATAGAGGTAAAACCTTCAAAATCCTTCTCCTAACGTAGGGATAAAGGGATTTTATCCTTATCTAGTCTGGAGGATCCTTGGGCCAATGGAACTCAATTTTGTAGAAATGTTGGGTGTGGCCCTCCTCGGGCAGAGGGGCGAGGCTCAATAGGGGAAATAGAGGTAAAACCTTTAAAATCCTTCTTCTACAGTAGGGATTAAGGGACTACATCCCAATTTGGTTTGGAGTATCCTTGGGCAAAAAGGGAGGCAATTTGTATAAACAGTGATGTGGCCCCCTGGGGGCTGAGGAGCGGGGCACAATAGGGGAAACATAGCAAATTCTTCAAAATCCTTCTTCTGTAGGAATGACAGGATTTTGTCCAACTTTGGTATAAAGCATCATTGGGTGAAGGGGAAGCAATTTTGTATAAACAGTGGATCTGACACCCCTGGGGGCAGAGATGCGGGGCCCAAAAAGGGATTTTGAGAAATAGCTTTAATTTCCTTCTTCTTCCGTGGGGTCGAAGGTATTTCGACCAAATTTGAACAGTAGCATCAAATTTGAAAGGGAAATCAACTTTGTATAAATGGTGGATTTGGGCCCCCTGGGGCTTGATGGCTGGGGCCCAATAAGGGAAATATAGCAAATTCTTCAAAATCCTTCTTCTGTAGGAATGACAGGATTTTGTTAAAGGGATGAAGTACCCCTGGTGGAAGGGGAACCAATTTTGTATAAACGGTAGTTGTGACAATGACAAGATTTTGTCCAATTGCATATAAATATAACCCCTGACTAACCATGTAATATTTCTAACTTATAATTACAGTGACATCATGCTATTCTTACTTCAATTTTGCTTACATTTCTAGGTGAGAGATACAGGCCCTCTGGGCCTCTTGTTTTCTGTGTATAGGCGATTGTTCGCGAATGTAAGTACATGTGTTGGAGTGAGGATAATTATCTATATCACTGAACAATACACAAAGTGTGATGTTGTTATTACAGGCAGCTGATTGGCGGAGAATACGTCATCAATCTCAATTTCCTGCTTAGCCTGCTCGCTCTGACCATTGTGTTCCTTGCCTGTCTATACAAAAGTGATATTTACGTAAGTGATACGAATTAGTAACAAATGCCTTAAAATTGTTGTATTTTGGAACATTTACATGAGGCTATATTTGTGGGGGGTCGCATGATAAACATCAGTATACGATCATGAACCATATACATTTTTTGTTATCAAACTAGAAAATGACATCTTTTTGTTAAGTGAAGGAAAATGACATATTCTTGTGTCAATAATACTGTTCGTTATAAAAATCGGTAAGACGACGATAAATAGTAGCCAGCCATGTGCATTGCATTGCTTATGTACAGGCATTATTGGGGATCAAGGAAGTATTGATAGTTTAATTTTGAAACACGATAGACTAATAAAATAACAATGACTTAACGATCCCAGTACTACTACCAAAACCTATAATTATGAGTTTCAACCGGTATGACATGAGCGTTGATGATTTATTACTGAACAGAAAGTCACACTGTGCTGAAGTTTCATGAAATATATAATTATAAAGATAAAACAAATATCGAAGAAGTGTTTGGAGAGTGAAAATGCCTCGATGCCAGACCGAGATTTCAAAACTGGGGCCTTCGAACACAATGATTTGATGAACTGTTCTAGTTGCTGAGCCACATAGTCCCAATGCATTTATGTATACAAGACGACACTAATGGGATGTTACTAAATTTTAAAATATATAGATATTTTCCAGAAGTATATGTGTTTTGCCAGCATCGGGACAGAAGTCTTTAAGCAAAATAATATCGTTAAGTTTCCAAGGGAATGTTTTAATGAACAGATGTATGCTTAAGTCGTGTTTTCAGTATTATGGACTTTTATTGAGGTCAACATAAGGTCCATATTTCCTCATATTGTTATCTTAGATATGGGATGATGCTTTGTTTTATTGTTAAACAAGGCAGAATGTATAAAAGTCAAGAGAAAAAATACTGCATTTAGCAAAGAGCATTATGACATTACAATTGAAAGGATACCACAAGGAGAATATTGACCTGATGTGTATATTGTGGCATCGAGTTGATATCACTTATTACTTACCCCCACGTTATTAATATAAAACCAATGAGGTTGAAGGAAAACTTTTGTGATCTAATAAATTATTTCAATGTCATATCGTTAAACATGTTATCCATTCTATCTAGTTGTTTTCTTTCTTTTTCAGATCATCTGCTACATGTGCCAAATTCTGATTTATTTCTTTCTCCTATCGTCATTTTCATTCCTTTTTGCCGAGTCTATGTTCTTTTTCTTCAACACATACAGCGAAAAGAGATCGTACATCGGTACATACAAATACCTGCTGATTGGCTGGGGTGAGTTATGTTGTGTACCTCATGTCTAGGCATACAGGCGTCCTGTTTAGTCCCGTTTCCACTGTATACAGGCGATCGAAATGTCAACAATGATCCCTTATGACAAAGTATCATAAAAACTCCTTATTAATTATCAATTTGAAATTAGCCAATATTCTTTGAAACTTTGATAACCCCCCCTTGTTAGTTTAACCAGCTGAAACCTGTTACAGTATTTACAATTACAAAAACTCTTAACAAAACAGGTTGCAGTATCTACCGATTATAACTCAAATCTGCTTATTAATTCTACATAAAAACTCACAGAACGCTCTCTCCCTATCTTGAAAGGCTTTTTAGATACGTGTGATGTATTTTGAATTCTCCCCAAGTGATGTTTACTACACGGCTTAAGACATTGCTAAATAAAACACTATAAATGTACTTTCCTTTTTTGCAGGAATACCGTCTGTGCTTACTCTCTTCTTCGTTATTGCATCCGAGGTGTTCAAGAAAAGTCAAGATTGCCTAATGCTGTATGTTTCAGGAAATATCTTATAATAAAACAGTTATTTACAACGCTTCGGAGTCATAATCAATACTTTTTTATGATTTTTCTGTTATTCAAATATTATAATGTTTTTCACGTTACTATTTAATTTATGGAAGTAAGAACATCACATCTAAGTCTGTTTTTTAATGTTGTGTATATATAAGAAACTGTTACAAATATGAAAATATGTTTAACTCTAGGTTTTAGGAGATGCCTTTTCGTGAAACATGTCATAAAATAACAATTGATTTTATGTTTAAAATTGTGAGAAACGTTTGAAAACTTTAAAAACCTTATGACACAAAGGTATTTTTATATCTCGGTCATTTATTGATTTTCGATAAATATACATTATACCGACATACATGGTTTTTTCGTTTTAGTTGCTGGCTAACTCGAGCAGACTGGCAGTTTTATGGGTTCATTGTCCCAGTCATCTTTCTTGTTATCGTACGTATGCGTATTAATTACACAGACATAGTGTATTATAGTTAAAATACTGATTAACTGTAACATTAAAAAAGTGACTTGAAAGTAGTGAAACATTGTATTTTTTCTATTAAATGTAATTGTATTGAAGATAGGACTGCTTAAACCCGTCGTCACATTTTTGTTCCCATTTAAGTAAGTGTAACAATCAAATATCCCAGATTAATTTGAAATATTTGAATAAGAAGATAATTGAATATCTTAAAAATACTGAATATATAACTATGTGATATTTATTGATAACTGTAGTATGCATCATTAGAGGCAAGTCACCGTATTAGTCCTTGTTTTACTCTATATTTCATGTCTAAACTGTTATCCTCAGATATAAACCCCTGACATAAGTTTGAGGATACTTGTATGATATATTTAAAAAATTAAAAGATACATTTTGTGCTCTTTCTAATAAGAGTTATCTAACATATCTAACAATTCCTATAACAATTTTGGAAACGAGCTGGTTTCAAAGAATTTTAAAACGGAATTTCGAATCAGTCCACTTCTTCATAACCTTTGAAATGACAGCTGTGTCTGTCTTTATGGCTAATAATATAAAACATTTTTCCAATACCTAGTTTTCATGAATATTATTAATTAATCATATGTCAAACAATACCATATACTATTAGACTGTATGTCGTTGCTTCGTCATAATCTAATCGGGAATTAAAAACCTGTATCTAAATGCTTTTTAAGTTGATGATATCAATGTCATTTTCTGTTTGAGTATTTCTCATAAATAAGATATAGCATTATTAATTTTGCAATCGTACGTTAATCCTATGGTTATGAAATGCATACGTTAATATATTCATATTTTCATTCACAGGGTTATATGATATTCATGGTTACAAGTTTGAAAATGTGTATAACATCGACAGAAGAATGGAGATTTAATAAGCGAAGGAAATTGGGGTAAGTTTATTAAATTGTTAAGCTGAGTTGGGTCTTTGTTGAAAACATCAAATTTTAACAAATATTGCATTATCGGATATATAATACGTACGCACCTACGTGTATTGATTTTAATGTATTAACCCACCGATAGTTATATACTTACACTACATCGTGTATCACTTCATATACATGTAGATGTTCAAAATCATATTGCTTGAGTGAATAATCAATTCATTGTGTTTTTAAACTCATGTGAAATATTGTTGTTTGGTAATATGCATGTTTTATTTAAACAAATAGACAGTACACTACGAACTGTTTGTAAATAGGTAGAATGTCATTTGAAATGCATTAGAAAAAAACCGAAAACCTTTCTGAAACACGGGCAATGAACGAAATATGACTTCAACACATGGGTGTTGCAAGAAAAGTTTAAAATATCTCACAAAAATGTAAATAACAACACGGAATAATTCCTAGCATTACAATTTATTTGGATAAGATACCACATTGTCGGATTGTCTAAAAATTCAATTAATTAGGCGCAGTAACCAACGAAGGTTTCCTACGAGACATTTGTTTCAACAATAGTGTATGATTACTATTCCAAGTGGATATCATGTGGATATTATTATCGTAACCGTCATTGCGACGCATCACAAAAGAAACAGCATTTCACAAAGCATATGTTTTCTGTTTTGTTGTAGACTACGATATGGAAAATCGTTGTCTTTGTTGATTCTTCTACTAGCCGTTAGCATATTATCAATGGATCTCAGCGACAGTGACCAGTTTGAAATAATCGTACTTCTCTTCATCTTTAAAACTTTGATTGTAAGTTTGTCTTGCAAAATTTACGTAATCACCATTTCGTTTGTAACACTTTTTAAGTTGAAAATTAAAAACAAATTCTATATATATTTTCTCCAACCACCTTCTATATATATTTTCTCCAACCACCTTGACAGTTTCAATATCTGTTCTGTGCTTGATAACTTGACACATTAGTATCGAAAACTATAAGTATTACGATAATAGAAACACACACATATATAGATATGATTAATTCGTAATAATTATATTTATCCAACAAGACTATAGGTATGCCTTGTAATAAATCTCTGTAATCTACAACATTATATATGTCATTTTCTTATCTTAGGCATTATGTGTGTTTGTGCATAGAGGCATCCTGGACAGACAGGTTAGTGAACAAGCATTTTAATATCATTAGATAATCATGTAAGCTAATCAACCATGCTAACAATGATAACTGCATGTAAGAAACAACAAGAAATTAGAGCAAAGCATGAATTAAATGCATAGATGTTTTTGGAAAAGTACAAAAAGTTTTGGTGAAAGTGTTTCTGAACATCGAACACAACTGCCTTATATATATACGAAAAATTTGTCAAAATAAAAAATAAACTATAATGAAATGCCTTTAATATTTTGATTTTAAGGTACCTTCATTTACTTAATTTATACATTTTTACTGTCTTCTATTTCACGATGTACACTGTAATCCGAGCGCGGTGTAAATTATATCAAAAATAACCACCTGTTTTGTACAAATTACAGCTATTGATAGTGTTCTGGAAGATGAATACAAAGAGGTACAGAAAACGTGACCGTGGCATCTCAATAGACGAGGTAAGTTCAATACACATCTAAATAATCCATTGTTTAAATTGTTTACGTGGACATAATAACTCGTGATTATTAATAATGAACTAGAACTATATTTACTGTTTTATTAATAAATTTATATAAGTAGTATAGAAGTAAAAAAAAAAATGAATTACAGGAAATTAGGGAACATAAAATTAAATGTAGTATAGTGAGATCTCGTGCTAAATGGGTAGAAGAGGGGGAGAAGCGTACAAGCATTTTTTTCAGTCTGGAAAGTAGAAATTTCACCTCTCAAGTTATACCTAAATTACGATCAGATAATGGAAAAACAATTACAAGTCAGGCAGACATTTTGAAAGAAGTTCAGAAATTTTATGAAAAGCTGTATGATTCTGATAATGACATAGCAGATGTAAATTTAAATGAATTTTTGAACCTTATAATGTAAATAAAATTAGTAAACATGATTCTGAAAAGTTGGGTGGCCTAATCTCATTGGAAGAAGCTGGCAAAACGTTAAGACGTATGACAAATAATAAAAGTCCAGGCATAGATGGCTTTACGGTTGAATTTTATAAGTGTTTTTGGAAATATTTAGGTAATTTTGTTGCTCGATCTATAAATTTAGGCTATACAAAAGGTAATCTATCAATCTCACAACGTCGAGGCATTATTTCATGCATTCCAAAGAGGGGTTAAACCTTTTTTATAAAAATACAGACTAATTTTCTCAAATACCACTGTGTTCTTTCTGCAGTAAAACATTTCAACTCTAATCCAGATTTTCCTAAATTAAGATTGTTATGTCCTTTTATTCCTGTACACTTAGAATTATTTTTTAAAAAGTCTAAAGGTTCCAAATATTTTTATAGTATCCAGGAAAAAAATAACATCGTTCCATCAGGACAGAAGAAATGGAATAGAGTCTTTGATTTTAGTAACTTTTCTTGGCATCAGATTTTTAAGATCCCCTTTGCTATAACTACTAATGCAAAATTTCAGTGGTTACAGTATAGAATAAATCACCATATTCTGACAGCAAATTCTTTCCTTTTTAAAACTCGAATAGTTGTATATCGTATGTGTACACTTTGCAATTATGAGATTGAAACTATTTCCCATATTTTATGGGAATGTCAAGAGACTCAGAAAGTTTGAAAAGGAATGGAAAAAACGGGGAAAAAATCTTGTTTTGTAAAAATAATATTCTGATAGCTGTCTCCTGGGCTTTGACTTGAATTACAAAATCAATAAGTTTCTTCTTTTTCATTTATTCATACATTCATCAGTTTGAGCTCAAAAGTATTTTTCATGTATTTTTAGTTTACAGTTTTTAGTAGCTTTTCATTATTTTTTGCATTTCTATGAATCCTTACTTGTTTGTGTTTGTGTATGTAAGAGTGTGTGTATGGGTGGGTGTGAGTAAAGGCAATTGTGTATGGATGGCGGATGTAAAGTAGAAAGATGATGTGTTGATGTTTGACGGAGCCACTGGTTTGTCTTTGATGTCATAATTATGAGACAATACACTGATTTCTATTTACAGTTTATTTACATCTATATACATATATACAGGTACATGTCCATACGTTCACCACATCACTTTCACTGCTCACATGTTGTCACTCCAACGTTCGTACCCCCACTCCCTTAGTTACGTCCTCTCTCGTGCACCACAAAAAACTAAACTCCCCTCTATCACACACACACAACCTGTCCTATCTCCACTGTAACACACACCACCCTTTGTTCTCATGACACTGGTCATTCTCAATCAACATTCTCCCTAATGGTCCAAGCTTTAATTGACAACTTAATAAGATCTCCAGAACCAAGTAATATGTCTCTACATTTAAATTGCACGCCTAATCGTTAACAAATAAACAACAACACACTCTCCTAAGACACTCACTGATACGTACAGCTGCGGCTGACACAACTCATTAATTAGAAGCACTGACCACTCTGACCCTACTGGCCAACTCGACTCTCCTCCTACTCTCAAAGTTAACACTTTTTCACAAACCTTCCCCCTTAAGTGTGACACCCCGGTACACTCATACACATACGCATATATAAGTATATATATACAACAATACACAAGTTAACATATTGACATAGTTGCAATGATTTCACTTATATTCCTTATAATTGAGTAATCCCGGTTTAGTCCATATTAAACACACAATGTTTCTCCTTGTCATTCCATCACTGGTTATCTGTCCACCGAGACATTTAAATCTGATGACTTGTCTACTGATGAATCTTGGTTTGCACTTTCATTTAAAAAAAATGTTATCTTAGGTGATTACACATAGATTGCTATGTAATAGATCTAAATGTCACTTTAAACACTGTTTTCAAAAACAACCTGTTTCTATTTTTGTGCTTAACAAAACACCTAACGAATATCTAGTCCGAGGATATAGTCACATGGCATATCTGATATCCTATAATCTTTACAGTCAAATTTTCATACCTTCTTTTGTCAAATTTCACGAGCAGTTTATATTTTATTTTTTATTCCATCCATTCCTTATTGCTGAGGTCACTCTGATATTAGCCGGCATCATCAATCCATCTCCAACTAGCCTGTCATTTACTATAGTAACGCTTGACACAGTATCCACCAACATGGATACACTGTAATTTTCCACGTGGCCATAGATCATGGCGACACAGAATCTATCCACTGTAGTCGTGCATGACATCATTTCGGTATTCCGGCATAAGCGCTTCCCTGGCGACACAGATACCTATATCCGACTAAAGCGTACTCAATCCATTTTCCGGCATTGGCGCTTCCTTGGCGACACAAAGAGCCCCATCCGTTTCGAGAGTAGAGTCATACATGGCGACACAGGTGTCCCTACCTCCAGGCTCTTTTAGAGGAGATGATTTCCTTTTATCCGGCGCCTCCACCAAAGGAAGCAGTCTCTAGTATAGCTGTTAACTCTGGCATCTCACTTCATTGTGTCTGACGGTTTGGCTATTGTAACAAGTAAGATAGTTATATATAGCTATTGTCCTCCAATTTTGACATGACGTCTGTTGTTCACGTCCTTGTCTCGATCTGCAGACTTCCTGTCCTCTCCGATCATTAATGTTCCTAATCCTAATCAACATGCTCACCTTGGCAACCATTTTAGCTGTTGTTTACATTCCTCACGTTTGATGATTTTAACATTCACTTAAAGGTTTTGGGGTTGACGACGACACAACTTTTTGATATTTTCATTACATCTGAGAAAAATGTTCCGTTACAAAAGCTTGTCTCTGTTCATAAAACATATCGCTGCAAGCTCTTTTAGAGAGTTTCGTAGGAACGGTTAACCCGAGTCCAAAATTTCAGATTAGTTAGTATGATATGTCCCTGTCCAAATGTGTTGAAAACTCTTATCTGTCTCGCAAACTTGATGGTAAAATGTTTGCTTTGTTCCTGATTGAGGTATCCATAACATCATCCAATATTTCTTAAAAGGTAGGAAGAATCCCGTTGATAAATGATTGTTTGTTTTCGTTTCCTTTTTTTCCCCCTGTTGTTTCACAAAGGATTCCGCTAACCGATAGTTTGTATGACTCCTCTACGGCATCTTCTTGTTGATCATAATTCCTTCATGGCATCTTGGTTGAAATCATTTGTTACATTGTATCCATATCCGGTTGATTGGTTAAAACACCGCATGTTTAAAACATCCCGTCGAATGTAAGACCCCGCCGCTGCCACCAAATGTGACGGAGCCACTGGTTTGTCTTTGATGTCATAATTATGAGACAATGCACTGATTTCTATTTACAGTTTATTTAAATCTATATACATATATACAGGTACATGTCCATACGTTCACCACATCACTTTCACTGCTCACATGTTGTCACTCCAACGTTCGTACCACCACTCCCTTAGTTACGTCCTCTCTCGTGCACCACACAAAACTAAACTCCCCTCTTTCACACACACACAACCTGTCCTATCTCCACTGTAACACACACCACCTTTTGTTCTCACGACACTGGCCATTCTCAATCAACATTCTCCCTAATGGTCCAAGCTTTAATTGACAACTTAATAAGATCTCCAGAACCAAGTAATATGTCTCAACATTTAAATTGCACGCCTAATCGTAAACAAATAAACAACTACAGACTCTCCGCAGACACTCACTGATACGTACAGCTGCGGCTGACACAACTCATTAATTAGAAGCACTGACCACTCTGACCCTACTGGCCCACTCAACTCTCCTCCTACTCTCAAAGTTAACACTTTTTCACAGATGTAAAAATACACAAGTGTTAATGTTGTGATGCAACTGAAAAGATGCATGTACTTATAATATATTAAATCATTTCATCATGGAGGAAATGAATGGAGGATGATGATGTTGATGATGAATGATGATAATGATGATTGATGATGATGATGTTTGATGATGATGATGAGGATGATGGAGGTAATAACATCATATTGTATGTGAGATGATGATGATGAGGATGATGGAGGTAATGGCATCACAATGTATGTGAGATGATGATGATGATGATGATGATGATGATGATGATGATGATGGAGGTAATAACAATCAGTAGATGTTAATTAAACTATTTAACACTTCTATTCACAGAAGCCTGCAAACAGCGCTTTTAGATGTGAGTATATATTTATAGACCCTACTTTTATTACCTTATATAATCCCATTAACTACCTACGGAACACTACATTTTAACATGACTAGTGACTTCCAATGATAACTGTGTGTATTGATTTCCAATCATATGCAAGATTTCCTGTTATTTTTGTGATGTATATATAGATAAATGTGTTGTTTTAACAGTTTTATGTTGATCGAATATAAAATGTGTAAACGGTAGTTTGAATTTGGAGGATTTTGAGTGTATTTGGCCCATTCCCCATCTAACATAGCATTACCATATACATACTGTAAATGATATCGAAATCATTACTTTTTTTCAGCTTTTATAAAACCTGAAAAAATCCAAATAGAAAAATCAAGTAAAGAGCAAGATAGTGTAAATAAATATTATGACGAAGTTGACAGACTCAAATTCACGAAAGAACGGAAAAGGCAGTTGTCTTCGTTATTGGGAAGTAGTTCAGTTGCAACCAATCTCAGTGTTGTAAGTGCTGCCTATTTACGTCGGGATAGACATGGCGACCCGAACGGTGCCGATAGTGGTATATTCGTTGGATCAGAGAACGACAAATATTTAGCGAACCTCTCGGCAGATTCTTCACCCCCTTTATCGGTGTCGAATAACAAAACCAGCTTTCTGGCTCATGCAAACGTGCACTCTAGCAGTTCACGGCAAAATGAAGATGAGAACATGTTTGACATGCCAACATATGCTGATGCTCTAGATGAGGGGTTTCCTACGGAGTTGCATCCACTTCAGCCTATGAACACTCGCACAGTAAAAGGTCGAAGTACACGACCAGATATCAAATCATCGGTAGGACAAAAGGAAGAGGTATCCCATCTTCTATCATCAGAACGATCCGATGTTGAGGAGGATGACGAATAGTTCCTAGATAACAATCTACTTTGTTTAAGTTTTTGTATATATGATGTTAATGGTGTTTTCAATGTTTGTTTGAGCAGCGATCTATAATAATATGAAAACCATCTTATTTCCGATAAATACCGGTTAATGAAAACAAGTTTTTGCCTTATCATGTTTTGTCCATGCTGAATTGTATAAGTAGCTTCTTGATATTGCCTTTAATGTTTCAAAGTCAATCATAGTGCCAGATGTCAGTCAGCATTTTTGGATTCATGAACATTCATTGCCTTTAGCTTGTGTTTTGAAAGTGCCTTCAACACTTATATTACAACAATTTGTATACCATCAACTCTAAAAATACCGAAAGACTAAGTTTCCTGTCACCTATATGTATATCAAATGATACTAATTCAGTTGTAGAATATTTTCATACCAAAGTGGTCGGTTTAAACAGGAAAACGTATAGCATGATATTCATTATGTCTTTCCTTCGATAATTTTGGGTCAGTGGTTTGACTGAAGATAATAACAGAAGACAACACGGGTCGACTTGATTAAACATCTGTCCCTGTCTGACGATGCTGCGATATATTTTTTAACCATTTAATCTGCCGCAAAATATACCGTTCAGGTTATTTTTTAAATTCTGCTCAGATTGAAATGATCAGAATAACGCTTTCATCAAAGTACGAATATAACTTATAGTTTGAATATTATTGTACAATTACTCTTTTATAAGGATTGAGTATCCAATTGTCCAAATAAACAAAATGTAGCGATCAATTAACTACACATACTTTTGTTAGTTTCCTTGATATTACAACTGACACAAATAACGCTTGAGCGTTATAATGCTTTTTTTGGATGTTTGTTATTCTTTACATTCAAGACAGTGTCATTTTTAGAAACATCTATACACTTTTCATATGAATCTCAAAACTCGTCTATGAATCGTACGAAATTCCGCCCATTTAAATTACTTTGTCGAATAGATGTTTTCATACCATCATGTATTTATAAATAACACTGTTATGGAAGTGTATATCAATATATAAATAATAGGGTTTTACTGTAAAATTGGCAAAATTAATCAAATTAATTGATATAGTTAAATAATATTTGCGTATTCTTATTTTCGCGATCGTTGTTTAAATGGCGAATTTGTGAAAGGTCCATAAACGATAAATGTTTTGTTGAATTTTATATGAACGATCATCGCTAAATAGTTTAATTTGCAAATTAACGAGTAAATAATATATTGATGCAAAATCAATAATACAGTAATTAAATACTTTGACACAACAACATCATCCCGCTATCACATCAACATACTTGGTCGCAGTACCATAAATTGATAAAAACAGAGAGATATATTAATTTTTTCGTGGATAGGTATTCTAATATAAATACGTATCTAGCGTATATCTTACTTAGATGTAAAGAAAAAATATTATTTTGAAAGAGTTTTTTTTTATTTCTGTCATATGGAAACGTTGAATTGTCGACGGTGTTTTGAGTAATTTTAACCCTGATGATCTGGTTTAGACACCAAGCCTCGAATTAACCCCCTCCCTTTTATTATTCAATTGTTAATTGGAGGTCCTGCATTCTGAACGTGAGCTGTTATATTCGATAAAATGGTACCAAATATGGCGTGAATGACAATTTTATAAGTATTGATAAATATATTAGATATGTGCGTGTAGATTCGCGTTATTTAATTATTGCTGGTTTATGTTATGTATTTGCCTAGAATACTTCTAAGGTAATTTGACATGTCTTTCTAGTCCAGAGTTTTCGTTAACATTCCAATATGTTACCAGGACAAAACACATCATATAATATCATAATTTTCAGGATGATGGATCATTATATATATTCTCGTTTAATTGTCGTTTTGAAAGAGTCAAAGATATATAAAAAATAAATAAAAAAATGTAAATACGTTTTTTCAAATCAACTTTCCACTCCTGACAAGGAGGACAATTTTTGGATTTGAAATAGTGAACCTAAAAACGGATATTTTTACAATTTATGAAGGTTAAACAACACGTGAATCAACATAAATTCATATATTATTGATGATAAAAGTTGTATTTTTTTTTTATAACAGGTGTAATTTCTTTTTTTAAATTATGTGAGGGTTTTTTTTACTGATGATTCAAAACAAAAATTAAATTATAATACATATTTAACTATTTTCCCGTCAGCAATGATTGTATGATTGTTTTTAGGTAGTCATTTAGGCCAAAACGCGCAAATACCATCGATTTTCTTTCCAGCTTGGGTTACAGGATTCATGTTGGCTATAAAAAAGGGCAAAACAGAAAAGAGAAGCATGATCAAACAATGATTCATCATCTTTAAACTTGTACTGATTAATGCAAATTACAGAATATGTTATCAGTGCCGACTCTAGGGGATACAGATTATTAAATCACTTTGAGTGGGTAAAATGAATACAGAATAAAAGTTATACAAACCATCTGCATGGACGATTTTAATATAAAAAAAAAATTGATATAACGTAATGAAACATTTCTCAACTCCATTTTATTAAACGTGGATCATGCAAACTGTTTTACTGTTGATGATGTCATAACTAAATTTGAAACATTAAAGGGGTATGTTTATATTGCAGTAACTCATGTGACATTACTCGAAAAATAAACGAACGACAATTTAGTCCGAGGGGTAGTAGATTGTTCCTTCTCACAATATTTGCTGCTTTCCAGTATTTGGTTATGGATAATTCCATACGCGATAAACTTTGTTACAAGTTTGAAAAAGGAAGTATTATAGTGTTAGGGAAGCCACATGTCTTTATAATTCTTTTATTAATTTATCATAGCCTAACGTTTTGTTTGCATTCCATTTTTTTCTATTCATTTTATTGTTAACAATTCATATGACCGAGTGGCTGTGACACCAAAAACAGTTCTGTCTCCAATGAAGTGTGTGAATGTGTTATCAGTAAGGTTTGTGAATTTGGTATCAGTAAGGTGTGTGAATGTATTATCAGTTAGGTGAATTACAAGTGTCTAATTTCTTGAGATTAATAACTCGATCCTTTCAAAGTCAATGAAATCAAACGATTTGAAAAATATTTCCAAACAGTCATTACCGATAACGTTTAATTGGTGAGGTAATAGAGTTGCCCTACCGATGATCAAAACTGACAGACTATAGGCATGCACGCTTTGCATATGTGAATCTCAAAGTTGTCATTTCAACGTGTGTTCAAAAGCATGACTAATTAATCATAAATAACCAAACAGTGAAGCTGATGATGTCTGAGTTATCATTTACATGTTCTTTATACTTACTCTTACAAACATATGCCGAATGCGTGTTTTAGTAAGAGATGTAGCCAACTCCATGAAGTAATCGGTATCACGTTTATAGCCATCACCATATGGCTTATTCATTTTTGATCAACAGAAACGTTAATTATTTCTCCTAGTTAATCTTAGAAATAATTTTTATTTTAATATATTTGCCTATGAATGTTTAAGTGAAATATTATGATATACAGAAAACCTTCATTGTTCAATCCCTATTTATTGGTTCTCATTTGCAGTTTTTGCTACATCGTATACATAATTACGTTTTTCCCCTTCACCAAAAGTTCCTTTTTTTTCAATTTTTGAAATTTAATAAGCCATGAAACATAGTTAAATAAATCATATTTATATGTTTCATTACATTCCATTTTAAGTGTTCTTATTAAAGATAAAAAACAACAACTTTAAACTACAAAACAAATCATGAAATTATATTTATATGTTGCATGAATATTATCTGTATGAGATAGTATTTAATATCAGTATTTAATATCTAAAGAACGCTATTTAATAATGATACGTTTATTATACTATTTATGTTCGTGTTAATTGTATTCATTATTTAAAAAGATTAATTAATTAAGATGAATATTTATTCGTTAAAAAATGTTTACATTACTGATCTCCCTTTACAGTGTAATTACCTTTTTGGTAATTATTATTGTTCTCCATATATTCCTTCCCTGTACTTTTTGCAAAGTCTTTCCAGTCACATCTACAATTTGCCCATGTTACAGTGAACCCTTTATGGTTTTAATAAATACAACATTGAGAAAATGTGAAACCATGAGTTTGTTTAAATATATATAGGTACGCGTGGTCTCACATTATCGTAACAATAGCGTTTTTAGAGGTTTGCTGTACACATATGAACATTTGTATGATGCTGCTAAAGGTCTCATTAATTTTTCCAGGACTGTATCGACCAGCGATTATCTGTGATGTGAATGGTGCGTTTTCAAAATCACAAGTTTTTCGTATTATTCTCCGTCTCTTAATGAGATTCACTGTAGCTTTTGATTATTGTACCCATGTATGCGTTTGAAAAAAATGGAATTAAAGTGTAAATGACTAAGAAGGAAAATGCGCGTCATTGACTTGGACATTCGCAGGATGGAGTTTTATTCGATAACTTATAGTCAATTTACTTACGTAAAAGGAAATATATAAGCTTGTTATTTTTTTAACAATCTTTTATTTTTTGTTAATAAAAGAGCAGCATAATGTTGAGTTTTGTAGCTTGAATTAATTGCATTGAGATAATATTCGTTTGTCCCGATTGTAATTAAAATAGTATACGAGTTTTAATTGTTTATCATTGAAAATTAATATCATCATTATTATCATGATTAATATTGTGTTATTATTTTTATTATTATTGTGTAATATGGTATGTTTTAAGTTATTCCTTATTGCTTTTTGCTTATTTGATAACGCAGTAAAACACGGCTGATTTCCCCCCGAAAACTATCGTTGTTATTCATTTAGTCTTGAGTACCGTATGTGTTCATGTGGTGTGTTACTAATTTGCTATTGATTTTTCAAGTCGACATACGTTCAAGGTAGTTAATTAGATACGATTAAAGGCATGATCCTGAATTGAAAACTGAATATCGAGAATATAATTCTTAACATTTGTAAGATAGCAAAAGAAGAAAAAGAAAAAGAAAACGGAATAGCGATTCATATTATTAAAATAAAAAATGCTTAACATATAAAATTTACAAATTTCCGATGTCGCTGCAGTCAACCGCTTTACACTCTGACCCTATTGTCCCACTATCCAGTCAGTTTTTCGCGGTGCAGATATGATGTTTCAGACACAAAAGTGTCCTGTCAACTAGGTTGCTTCACAGCCAGTTATTCCTGGTAAGAATTCAGGTTACAGGAATATTAGAGTTCTACTTTTTGCTTCTAGGTATAAGTAAATTACGTGATGTTAAGACTTCTTAATTATGTTTTAAAGCTAGGTACTATTCATAAAAGCAACGGCCTAATACGCAATAGTTTCGTTTGTTAGTTTGGTTCAGTCCAGTGGCAGTATTTATGAAAGTAATATAATATCTAACATTACGTAACTTCAACAAATAGGAATCAGAAAAGAAGTTGGATAGGTAAAAATTTGTCGACAATATGTTTATTTACAAGGAAAAGCCATACACGATGCAAAACAGTATTTTTTTTCGCTTTTACATCAGATCATTTGTAATATTTTGAAGAACGTCATTTCATACTCGTGTAACTTAGGTAATAAGGTAACATTTCTCAATTTGTGTTGAAGTATGATCATATTAAGGGCACACTCAATCCCGTAGAATGATATTCACATTTCGCAGTATAATATTTAGGAGTCAAATATCGAAATGTAGGGGAACGCTCACACCTCTTGTGTCAATCTAAAAGAAGAAGAAAAAGAAAACATCAACACAACATACATAAACAATACAGCACTGTCCCGTTACTAATTCAAAAGTCTATTCTATTTTATTTATTTTTTTTGAAAATCATTGCTGACAAATCGATTTTTTTCATGAAAAACATGTTACATCAAAAATGAACGTAAATGTAAAATAAGCAATCAGTAACTGATTAAATGGCAGATAGGGCTACTTCGTTTGTAATTTCAATGAATGCTTTTCTAAACTATATTCATAAAGACTGATAATATGTTCGTGTTTTTATAAAAGTAATCGCAACCTTATCATAAAATTGGTTTCACAAAACAAAAAATCATGCAACTACAACAAGAATTTAAAAGCTGATTGTATTAAACAGACATGTATACCACAACCATGACTTCAGCTTACCTTGATATCTCTCATTCAAGATTACGTGGGTCAATGACACGTGGTAGTTCCATTATTAGGATGGCAGTCTTCGGCACTCCTTCGTCCTCTGCTTCCGCTCTCTGTTTAAACCAAGAAATAATATTGTCGTTATTTCTTTCATGGAACAACACACTGGGTTCGTTATTTGCAATGTAAGAGACATAACAGTATTCATACCATTTGTGTCCATGTAATAGGAAACGCAGAATTCGAACTTTGTAATTTTACTAAATGCATTTTAAAGGTAAATACACAATATCGTATTATTACATTGGCATTAAATCCCTAAACAAAAACACTACTAAGAATCATTTTAACATGTGGGCACTTGAAGTCCCATATCTCTAGAATGTTTTGATTTGGCCACGGTAGCAGGAAAACTCAAACGCCCATATGGGCTTAACAGAAATGTAATTGGACACAATGCCGAAACGAATAAATCTTTAAATAAGTTAAAATCAATATCAAGAATGTGTAGATGAAGATAAATGTCAGAGGAAGGGCCCAGGGTGTGCTGCCTATACAGGTTGGTCGCTGTCCAGTCCCGATGACAATTCTACAGGAGGTCCAACACTAGCTGCCACTTAAATTTATACAGTGGGGTATATATCAATATATTTGACTTGCAAAGAAACTGAGTTAACCGAGATTATGACATTTTTACGATAATACATCTGTTCCGTAATTTTAGGTGTCGTATATGAATGACTCTTATGACAACACCTCTGTCTCATCAATAGTTGGCCGACAATAGTCAACCGTTTTTGACAGCTTACCTGGTCCAACACATAGTCCATTAAAGCACGAGTTACCAGCAGGACATCTCGAGCAAGGCTGGCCTCTCAGGAAGGCGGGCTCACCTACCCAGTTACCCCTTTAAGGAAAGAATACAAAGCGATAAGAAGCCAATACTAGTATTTCATTCAAAAAGACACTGTTTTAGTATGTGTGTATCTTTAAGAGATGAATCACCAATTAAAAAGTTCTCAATATGCAGAAAACAATCGTGTTCCGACTGATGTCCATTCTCTACTTCTTCAAACAGAATAAAACAACATTCACGACAGTAATATGTCTGCGCGTTGGACACACTTTTTGTTTGATGACGTCATACATAGATATTCATTAAAGCCAATAATAATCAGATCTTTATACAAAGTCAAACATATTATGATTCCAATTACCTCAGTCTGTTTAGACCGATCAGGAGAAAGCTTCCTATATAACGACAAGATCTACCGGAGTATAAGTTTTGATTCCTTTCCAAAGCTATTGTATACCATGGGGACTTAATAGAATAGCGATGATTTCCTCTTGAAATAGCCCATAACCACTTAACGTTTGCATCACTATTAATATAAACAGTTTGCACTTACATTGGTGAGTAGAAACATACAAAATATTTGGCGTTTCTATAAACGCGACCATTTCCGTCAGGTAAAACTGCGCAGAGGTTCAAGGCACATCCTAACCGAGTCGTCCGAGACCATACAATCTACAGGTAAATAACAATGGTAATTTACACAGGTATGACAAAGGTAATTTAACCGTGACGGCCAACAGGTATAACAGCACATAACAACAGAATATCAACATAATTAAGTCATACAGGGTTCAAACGTAGCAGTATGAAGATTTGTGTCTTCCGATAACGTGTTCCTCTATAACATGCATACATCCGCAATATTATTCTATAACGAATGCTTCCGTCTTAAAAACGTGTGAAGTATTATAATATTTTGTTAAATCGCTGTAAACATACCTGTGATCTTATCACCTCAATCAAATGTCAGCAATACCTACATTTGTCGTTTGTTAAAAACGATATCGACAATTTCATAAATATTTGTGATAAGAAGAGTCTCGCCATACATGAATCGTTTTAGCTCACTCATTTAAAACCAATTATGCTGAGCTTTTTATTCTTTATAAGCGATAAATAGATCACGCATTCTTTAACATCTTCACTGGTATATTAATAAATGATAATAATATGAACAATGAGTGCGACATGTCCCATACGCATTAACCTGCTCTTAGGATTGTAGACACTAGAGTTACTCATGGAAACGGGATTCTTTCGTGTGTGTTGTAATAATAGGCGTCAGTACTAATTGTTCAGATATTCTTACCTGTGTGTAATGGCAAGCGGCGCCGCAATGCCCAGTACCCCCATGCCATAGCCCCCGCTCGCCATACCAATTCCTCATAGCGTTATTGATGCTGTACATGTCATCTACTGCTTGGCCCGTACTGGACACGAACGCTAGGTTCTCCCCGAACCCTGCCATTTGGTGGCGGAACGAACAACGACTTGCCCAGGATGCAGCTCGCTGTTCTAAACCCATGTCGTAGTTCTTTAAAATTAATTATAATAATGAAAGTTCTTTTACAAAACGTTTGGTTGTTATACAACTTCATACAATATACAGATATCGTATAAAACGTCAAAACGAATGTTTCATGAACAGAAATGTGGTCTAATTTTGCGCCACTAACGCCATAAATACCTTAAATACGCATAATTCAAATTCGTTTGTAAACAATCAGTTTGTTTGTATTCCATCAAACACACCACATGTTGAAATTTGAAATGGATTCTGTTATTAAAATATGGTTTAACCTTCTCCCATATCATTTATTTAGGAAATTTGTTCTGTTTTAAGCATGTTTATATTGGAATGTGCTCACGTACTCACAAACCATACACATCATAGATCACAAGACACACTACTTTAATATACTGTTGCGCAAATGGCTATTTGTTCATTGTTTATTGAGTACATTGTATAAAAACCAATTTGATACAGTAGATGATATATTTAGCTTTTAGTAACAATTTATTTATTATTATTATTCCGCCAACAACATCTTTGTTTGGCATTATATATAAACAGTTGGTTTAGATCAAAGGCGAATCAAATTAAAATCCTTTTCAATCAGTAGCTTACCATATATTTCATGTCAGCGGCTCGTTCGTTAGCACGGAGATTGTTATGGTAGGTCTGTATATACCCTCTATACCTAGATATATCCTGTAGACTACCACATATGGTCGCTAATGTCGTAACAATCACCAATGATATTGACAAGGCATCCATCTTGTATCTGAAATGAGGTGAAATAATATATTAACGTACTCAGTATCACTAGTGGTATTTCATTAACGAGGCATACACTGTACATCTTGCGTCTGAAAAGTAGGAAAATACACTAACAGGTATACTCAATCACCAGTACTATTAAATACCTGATCATTAGTTCTATTGAAAAAATAAAGCTCTTGTGTCTGAAAAGTAGAGCAAATAAGATAAAATGTTATCTTACACAAAACAAGTTATTTAATTGTAATCCTCATTTTTATCGGGCACGATTAGAATATCTAAACTTATGGTTATGATATCGCTTCATTAAAAAAATGCAATTCTGAAATTAAATGGAAAAAAATGGGATTTGTTGTAGATGCGTTTGAAAAGTTTGAATATTTGTTCATAAGAAAAGGCCCTAAATGTAGGCTGTTCTTTTGTAGTCTTTACAAAATACTAGCAATGAGAAGAAAAATGGGGTCGAATACTACATCCATAGACAACCGTATCCTAAAGTCATAATGTTCACCCTTAATCCTAAAATGATTTGTTAATTAGCTAACAGTTCCCTGTGTACATATGTGTGTTATCAAGAAAAGATTCAAATAGGACTACAACGCATTCCTATAGGAAGAACGACACATCGACTCATTCACAAAAGCAATAAATGTTTCCGGTCGTAGAACAATACATGATACATGTAAACAATACGATAAGGAAATCACCTGCTACCTTTACCACAAACAGTTATTAGTATGTACATGTGTATTTGCTGTACTGAATGGACATGCCATACACTATGAACCTGTTTCCTGCTATAATATGAGCTGACAGTCTATCTCCTCGTATACCTCTCTTAGGACGATGATGTTTAGTCAACTTACATTGAAATGGTCGGAGACTATTGTAACTGGTCTATGGGTTAAAATACCTCTACTTTATTTACTCTATATAAAAGTAAATGGTTAAATCGAATATATCCTCACTTTTGCATGACTGTGTTTTAGTCCTGTGTGTTAGTCTTGTTACCGAACTCGGAAGCGATGCGCGAGGTGGGCGGAGCTTGCTACCGAACTCGGAAGCATTTGGCTCCAATGCAATCAAAAGGGTAGTTGGGACGTAAAGCTATACAGCTTATGGTTTATAACTATTTTCTACTTAAAATTATCTCTCCAGTGTGTATCGGTATAATAAAACGATTAAAGTATGGGGTTGAGGGATATAGCAAGTTTCTGGTGTCCCTTGACCATGCCTATTTCCCTCGGCTTCGCCTCGGGAAATAGACCTGGTCTCGGAACACCAGAAACTTGCTATATCCCTCAACCCCATACTTTAACTGGATAATCTAACACTATTTACCTGTTATAGGGGTAGAAGAAATGTGTATATTATCTCTAATTGGGAACCGTCAACGCAGTTCCGGTTAGATTCTATAGTTGTTTTATAAGATGTGCATGGCTCCTACTTGATAACTCTACTTATCTCCGAAAGAGTCACAATTGACCAAATACTGAAATATTTAACTTGATACCATCAGACAGATCAAATTGCTGTTTCTCTTTGATGATAGACACCCCGGATATTCTGAATATATACAATGAATGAAAAAAACATTATATTACTTAAATGATTTATTTGTTCAAACCTTGTTGATAATCTATGTTTTTTTCAGTTTGGCTATCCCAATGAAGTCACCAACAAATTTTGTAATATAATATTTAAGTTATAAAAAATTACTCTTTATCGTAAATGGAATGAGTATATGCCACTAATCATGCATGTTCTGTTTGGAGATGTTTTATATTACATTTTACATGTGGTAAGATTAATGAACAATCCGTAGTTATTACTATCGAACTGATAATGTACATCCCCGTCATCAAATTGCATAGTTAATTACAATATTGAGGAATTGTATTACTAGGTTTTTGTTTAACAATAATATCAATTGAAATTTTGTTTGTAACCAAGTGTCTCCGCTATCATTCATACATGGAACAATAGCAGGGGAGATAACCCAGGCATAACAGGAAGTGGTTTGATCAGTGCATTTACGTGATGTTATTAGTAATGACCAACACGGTGGGCTAAACAAGCGCTAATGGAATTTACGTTGTACGTCATAAACTACTGTCCATTCACCAGTGTCCGGTGAATGGTCAATGTACGACCTATGACCCGATGACATATCATAAGGATATGCGATAAATAGGACATACATGATAGACCAATCATTGATATCAGGAAACTATATGCTTGGTACTAACAGCAAAATATGTATATTCTTCTTTCTGTTAGCCAAAATAGTTATCATTACCATATTTCAACAAAACACAACCTCCTCCCCCTTTTTTAAAAACTTGATGGATGGGATTTCTCTCTTTTATAGCAAACCTTTAAAACGATTAGGAAATGATGTAAACAAGATTATTCTTTAATTTTACCGGCTTAATTACAATGATCATAACTATGTATTAGCGATATAAGGTCTGTTTACTATCTCTGATTAGATTAGATACTGTGCTAATTCTGCAATTCAGGGGAAACCCTTTTTAATTTGCCATTGGGATCCCATAGTGCAATTCCAGTCTTTACTTATTCATTTATATATTTTCTGTATTTATTTATCTATTTGTGTAATTTTCGCATAACTATATATATAACAGTGTTACTATTTGATATATATATCCCTGCGTTGATAGTTTGACCGTTTTAAGTGTATTTATCTGGCATTTTATAGTAGCGAATATATTTTAGAAATTTCAGCTCAGATACCAGAAACATCTACATACCTTGCAGCGGAACGTCATTATGGTTTTGTTAAATACTGTAACCATTTAAAACGTAAGGGAGCAGCAGTACTACAACTGTGCAATGAAGCGTGCTTGTAACTTTACTATACGGAGTGATAATATCTGCTGTTTCTGTATACTGTATACCATGAAATGTTCGTTGTGTATAAACATTCGTGGTTTTCGTGGGTGCTATTGAACCACGAAAATAAATACATCGAATTTGAATTTTATACGAGTCTTTTGTTTGTTAATATAGGATATCCACGAAAGTTTGCACCAAGAAACGATTTACATGGCTTCAAACAACGAAGGAAAGTGACTATGAACAATTTGTGTTATCCAGTATCAGAAGTGATTGCCAAAGATTCCAGATGGAAAAAACAGATTTTGTAATTCATGGAGTTCAATTTTGGCCTTTTATTGGTGCAATAATCTGCTCGTGTCTTAAGTTCGTCGTTTTAGGAATTTTTACTTGTTTGTTATACAATGTAGCTTTAATTGTAGCGGCGCTTTGAAAAATCAATTCAATGACGGAAGGAGTAGCAACAATTTTATAATACGTTTCATTTCAAACCTTCGTATACTAGACAAGTTGTAACATCAAGCAATGCATTGATCGTCTAGTTTTCTATATCGTTTTCCTTTCAGCCGATTATAAAATGCACGATTAAACCACGAATCGAGTCCTTGTGTATTACCTTTGTTAGATTATTTGCAGAACATAAAGTTTGGGCTACCTTTACCACAACCAAAAGTAGACAATAGCAAATGTGTTTGGGACTAATTAACAATACATTAAATGCGTGTAATGACATTAATATGGATGTTTTATACTACGTAAACACATACACGTTTGTCACGGTGTGTATTACAGTAATGATAGTCATGTACGCAATACAAGATCTTTCCCCCGAAGGTGTTTATGGACGCATCATTGTCATTTTTATCGCGACAAGAAGGAAAGAGATTTAACACCCCGTCAAAGCCAAACTTCACAGGTTCATGAACACTAGCACGTCCAAAAACACGTTACAGTACAAATGAAAGTAAGACACGTGCAAACTGGCAAATACATTTAAATTAAAGAATTCGAAATACGATATACAAAAGTTTGTTTGACACAAAATAATGGAACCGTTTATTTCGACAGAAAAAAACCCGTTTCAATTTTTTTCACAATTGTTCCACATCGATCTGCTTTAAAAAGAAAATTAACTTTCTACTTAATACTTTCAGGTTTTCAACCATACTGCAGCTCAAATATCTGCTATTCTCGTACTGGTGCTTTTAATGTGTATTAACTACATCTTTGTATACGAATACGTGAGAGCTTGCGAGTGACATCCATTTTTATTTTTTTTACTGTCATACAGTACATCATTTTCGTTGTCTTTATTTATTTATCTGGTCATTTTGTTCAATGCACACACAATAAACTGTTCAAATTGCATTAATTGATAATAAGCTTTAAGTTGAAAAATAACTTCAAGAAAATCAAGTACAATATTAATTTGGAAATAACATAAATTAACATTAAAATATTGATAAATTACGAGAAAATCGAATAATTATCTCACAACAGGTCTATTATTGTGTACTATTAAGTATCACACTGTAAAAGATCAAAAACAACTTACCTGTCTGCTGCAAACAGTCGTAGTGTCAGTGAATGTGTCAGGTTGACCTTATATAGCCCCATGCTTTCGTAACAATGTAAGGGCCGGTTTTATAATGCATATCGTCGGCGAGGATGGCGGTTGTTTTTGTTTTGTCATTGTGTATGACACAAGTTGGTCCCTCCTTCACCTTAGTGACACCTTGCACTATTTAGAGTTAGTGTCGCTCTATAGAACCCGTAACCGCACTTAATCACCTGGTGGCGCCCAGTAGTTCCGTTCATAGAAAAAAAACATGTCATATATACTTATCAGACATTGTTCAATGATAGTTTCCCTTGACACAGTAGAAACATCAAGAGGATACCGAAGTTAAACCAAATTCGAACTTAAATTGAAAAAAATAGGAAAAGTAATGAATAATCACGAACAAGACGAATAATACCAGGTATCCATAATAATAAGCGTCTTCTGCTTCAATTTTGTTTTTAACTTTGATAAGAAAATTTATATCAATCATAACTCTTATGCAAAGTTAGGTGACAATGCAGATAAAAGTGAGGCATGTTATGTACGCATGGTAGTTTGTTTTCCTTTAGGATTTTCAAGGTGTTAAAGAAGAAAATGGGCAAAAAGGATTTACGAAAAACAAAACATCTCGTCGAAAAGAAAAGAAAGTTTCTAACCGTTGCAACAATTCAATTTTGGTATGATTGCAAGAAAGACACAGATTCTGTTATAGCCCTGCGTCAGACACCTTGTTGATAATGTAAATGCGCTCGGTCTACAGTCCATTGACAGAATATTGCTGTTGAACTTTCATTGTTATAGAAAACTATCATAGCATTCTAGGTTAGAAAAACTAGTAATATTACAAACGCTATGATTCAGCAGATCATTTTATAAAAGTGTGCATCAAAATTACCCTTCCAGGCCACCTGGTTTCGTCTCGTTAGGTTTCATGTTGGCTATTTATATATCTCATTTCCTGTTCATTGTTATTGTAGATGACTTATTGAAACACAGCGTGTTTAAGTTTAATATAGCTCTGTATATTGACGTTGGTTTTTCTCCCATAAGGATTGTTTTCTTCATATAAGCGACATTTTATAAACATTTTTGTCCGTATGTCAAAAGGACGAATCGGATGTTTAAAAATGGTTATTTATTTCTCATCATGTCACTGTATTTGATGAAATAAAGAATCATCTATATTTTGCTAATTATAGGCTTATAACAGGTTGCGATGATTAGGATATCTCATTGCCTTGTATATATAAAGAACATTTGAGAGGATTTGTTATTGTGTACGTATGTCCCTACTCCAATGGGAAAAACAATTAAGATACAACGGCAGCAGTGTTGGTCCCCTCTGGTCCATGTCGAACCTTCGTACAGATATCTCGGTCAGTTCAGGTCAAACCACGGACAAACTGTGTAGGTGATGTCAACCAGATCTTGTCATATTGCAGTTTTTACGCTATAAATATGTCAACCTTTAAATGAACATGAAGGTCTGAATAATTGAGCCAATATATATATATATAATCTGAGACCAACCTCGCCCTGAAACAAAACATGAAAAATACGCAATGTTTAATATAACAGCCCAATATCTCCCTTCGGTAACAAAGCAAATAGATTGAAACTTTACACAATGTTTTATATAATACTGTAACTTCCTTGTCTCAACAACGAATAGCCTGTTTATAATGTAACGAAGTATGTATTGTATCGATGTTCATTGTTCATAACATCTTGGTATGGAAATCAAGTAGTAGTGACGTCATGATCAGCTTTTTTTTTAAGAGGACGATCGTTGTTAGTTCGTCAGCTTTAATCTTTTAAAACGCTACAGTAGACAAAAATGGCATTAAGATGGCCTAATGGTATTTAAGTTCAAACATTCTATTTATCGCAACAGAGAGAAAAAAAACAGAAAAAAATGTACGTATTGTTCGGCAAGTCATTTTTTCTTGGAGATATATGAAAGTGTGTCCTTCTTGATGTATTCTAGTAAATCAAATTGATTTATATATTAAACGTGATTTTCCATCATTGATAATCTGTTTGCAGGACATTGAACCTCCGAAACAGCATATAAATGGACGAATCGTAAATGTAGAAATATCAAACAAAATAATTCTGAACACAAAATACATGTCTACATGATATGGCATTGTATGTCAGTATGTTTTTGTCTCCGAATTGACATGGGAGTTGTTGTTATACGGCATATAAGTGACATTAGCCAAGTTACCTTTGTGCCCTGACTGAAAAAGTCGGTCACCTGGTCATGGTTAAGTTTAGAAGAAGCATTAACTGCAATCTCTACTTGAAAAACAAAACAGGTAAGCTATGAATATTTGAAACCTTTTCGCACTACCAAAACTGTAAACAATTTTGTTGACTATATATATTTGTAAATTAGAACTAAAGTGTTCTTTTAAAAGATCTGTAAGATAAAACTTAACGATTTGGGGAAAAGGGAATAGCATTGCCTCTTGTATCTGTTTCTTCTTTCTACAACACATCGGTAAAGCTAGGATAAAAAAAGATGAAAATCCATAATGTTCTAAACTTTTCTTCGAGCAGAAGAGGAGGTGCGTAAAACTAACTAATTTATAAAGGTAGGGTCAACGCCTATGGAGATTTAACATTAGCGTCGGCCCCCACTTGGAAATTTAAAACAAGGTAAATCCAAAAAGGTATTGGTATAGGAAGCTTATAGGAACAGTTAGTTTCAGAATTTATTTTATGATAAATGGGACCTCGTTGACTCACACCTGAGATAACGGTGCGGTAATACAATTCTCCTAGAGCATTTAAAATACGCAAGGTCATAAAAAAATGTGCTGAAATAACATTTGTGTATGGGAGTCAGACAAGGAGTTAACGATATCAAATAATGTAAGTATTCCTTTATATTTTGTTTATTGAATGGGCAATAGGCAAAATTGATTTTTTTAGCTAGAACTGTAAGCCAAAGACTAACTTAAACCCTTGCTCCTATATAAACCAGAACTGTAAGCTAAAGGCTAACTAAGGCAAAGCGTTGCAAAGCAATCCATAGTCTCCCACCAGTATTTATTGAAAGTATATATGTCACTGACATACTTCCTGTATTCCCTCCTCATGCCAAAACATATTTCCGTATCAAATGTTGTTCGCCCAATTGGACCAGCTTTGCTGAAATCGTCCTAGTTGTCAAGACAAAGATTTTTAACAAAAATGTTTCGTTGAAATTGACCCCTTAGTTTTGGAGGACATGTCCGGACAAGGATTGTTCAACAGAGGGCCATAACTTTGTGATGAAAAGTGATACCAAAATGCACAACTTCAGGTGGTAGTTATCATATCTGAAAACTTTAATTGAAATTCGTCCATTACTTTAGAAGGAGTTGTCAGGACAAACATTTTCTACGGACAGATATACGAACGGACAATCTGATTCCAGTATAACCCCATAACTTTGTTGCGGAGGGTATACTAAAGCGAATAATAGTTTTACTATTAAGATTATTGTTTGTTTTTATATAATTTGTCTATAACACAATTTCACCCTTAAGTTGTTCTCCAGAGGAAAGATAACTTTGGCAGAATACATATTCATGAGTTACTACAGCTGCACATAACTTTAAAACATGTGTAATATAATAAAGTGTTTTGGTATGGTACAAAAACAGAAAATGTATCGGTATTTACCATAATTAACATTGATAATCAAATCTTCAAGAATATGTGAAATTTGGCATTGATCATGTTTGGCATGTTAAAAAGTACTTTATCGGTTTTGATATTACATAAAAATGATTCTGTAGACAGAAAACACATATGGAAAGTTTTTAAAGTAGTTTAAAATATGGACTACCATTGTGACTATACATAGGCAAGTTGACCATGTTGGTTATATTTTAAATTTTGTGAACATTTTGTAGGTTTTATTAATGTATAACATTAAGACATATTTAGGATCAAAATAACAGTAATTTTATACACTGTACACTACAGTTATATTTCAACGGAAGCTAAGGGGATGTTACTGTATGTAAAAACCACAATGTAGTGACTGGGACAGGGATTCTAAAGAACACATAAGATGACCCATTCATGATATCTATTCAACCACTTTTCTACTTATAAAATTGACGATTGAACTCAGCAGGTAACCATGACAATACGAGCCGTAACGACTTTGGGCTTCTTCCAAGTATATATTGCTATTTCTCCTTTTTACAACTTGCCGGAAATAATGATGATGGGATGTCGTAATCTATTTGTAAGTGCTCCCCTAAGGCGAGGCTGTTACAATGGTTTACAAGCATTATCATGTTATGTAGGTATCGTTTTTTACTGGAATACTGCTGCCAACCAATGTTTCGGATATTGCTGTCATTCATGATACTGACTTCCCATTCATAAATCTTTCACTACAGACTATAACAGGAAACGATTTGCAGTGGGTATAGTAAATTGTGTGACATTATCGTCAGACATCCAATAAATGCCCAATCTACATGTACATTGGTCCTATATCAGAATTCATTGTGTGTCATTCATAAATTACCATTATCTTTACTAACGTGTACAATATTGTTTCTCGTCGTCAATCACCGTACTTCATCATCCAACAAAAAACCTACAGCTAAAAGCAAGATACATGTATATGTAGTTAAACGTGATATGCCCCCATTTACGGAAAAACAGTATAGAGCAACTTATTCCACCAAGTCACCTGAAGACTCTGACCTTTGAACTTTACTGTAAACAGAGGAACAGCAACATGCCCAAAATACATCTATCTTTATTCAATCACAACCAAAGGATTATACTCACTAACTGTTTTAAGATCGTTTCTAGAGATCCAATACCAGTTACACAGACACCGGAGTAAAACAAACTATGGTTACTGGTCGTACCTACCAAGATTCTCCCGCTGAAGAAAATTAAACATGCCAACAGCCAGAGTATGTAATTAGTATAAGCAGAAGATATTTGGTGTGTGTCATTCTGCTGGTAACTTATAGCACAGTATTTCCAAGATTATAGGCTGATGAAGATTATGAACAAGTTCTATTGTCGCCATCTGGATCTCACATGCTGTGAAATATGCCTTCGTATGATATGAAAGTAGATGTTGTGTTATTATGCTCATTAAAGTGCCTTGCTGTTTTGTTGTCACTACAAGAGCTCTCGATCGGAGGCAAGGCGGGTGTCGTCGATAGAGCAGCAGACGCCTGCCATTCTGGAACATGCTCCTTGTAGATTTTGCAATGGTCCCTATATATATATATCCGTTATTTTTCCATTTTGCCCTTGTTTAATCAACTTAGAATTATATTGCTTTGTCGATATCTCGGTATTAGCTCGTTGTTTATTGATAGGATTACAAACATCCATGGTGTCCTACCAACTGTGTGATAGTGTAGTATTAAAGACAACTAATGATTAATCATGTTCACAACCAATTAAAACTGCCTTCCGTCGATAGATAATAACGTAAGGTTTAGTCCGGAGAAAGTAAGTACCGCCGTATAGCGTGTTTGACTACTGACTCTTTTTCTTTCACCTTTAAACTGCATATTCCTCATAAAAGATTACAATTTCTCTCTCGCAGTCATACTTCCGTCAACTATTTCAGCTTTAAGTGTCATACATTAAACCAATGTACGATTCGCGGTAATGTTTGTTAAATCCATGTTAAACTGACCGATAAATGGATAAATAACCTTCCTCAAAGAGCTTCCGGTAGGTCTTCCCATTCCGCAGGTAACATCAATGAATAGCGTAAACAACAGACGACACCGTAGTTTGTTCTGCTATGTGTCTTTAAAATCCTGTGTGGTCCTCCTGGAAATAAAGGGGAAAGATCCAATTGGAGTAAAATAGTAATGTTTAAAATTGTTCGGAGTGTTCATACATGATTGTCTCTCTTGGAACATTTAATTTACAAATGTCTGTAAAAAGATATCATGTCATTTTTTTCAGATGAAAAAGTTGAGACCCTTCTAGAACCAGTCATCTTGTATGACTTTTGAATTGCTTTGTTAACCCACATCTTGATTATTGCTAAACTGTTTTGGGGTAACAATTAAAAAAAAATGTAAATTAGAACGCCTGCAAAAGAGAGCAGCCAGAATTATTTCAAAACGTAACTTTTCTACACATTCCTGTGATATGTTCAAACCATCCTCAGGCCAAGGTCACTTTTTGTATAAGCGGTGGGTATCCAAAAAGGACAGGCTTTGGAGTCAAGACTGAAGTAATAAACGACAAAACGGACAGGCTTTGGAGTCAAGGCTGAAGTAATAAACGACAAAAAGACAGGCTTTGGAGTAAAGAGTGAAGTAATAAACGACAAAAAAGGACAGGCTTTGGAGTCAAGACTGAAGTTGTATGTTTCAGTTTATATATTGAAAGATAAGCGACAAAATGACTAGTTTTGGAGTCCAGACTGAGTTATAAGAACTTTTTTATCATTTGCAGTTCTTAAAAAACAAACAACTAAATCATTCAAGAGAAAAGAAGAAATTCAATAATAGAAAGTTTTTTCTAAAAGTTAACAAATTTGGTCCACATTATCCGCAATTCTTAAACAACAGTAAAGAACTAGTTTCTTAGTCTACCGTGTCATTCATTTGCATATTCATACACTCGTATTAAAAGAAACTATCAGAAATATACCTTCAATTTTAAAACGCCAAACCCCGTTTTGCTAATCTGGATTATGATTTAATCATTTATTAAGAATTAATTTAAAGCAAGTTAAACAAATGCAAAATTGTTCATTTGAGAAGATTTGCCGATCGATTAAAGACAAACGCATTACCCTTATATAACATTTTACAGTACACAGAACTTGCTACATTTGACATCAGACTATACTAGTTAATATCACTTACCTGGACATTTCGACTCATTTTCATTATTTAGACAGTCCATATGTAAATCGCACATTTTCTCTGTAAGGAAGACACTGGAAACCATGTTCGGTCTGGCAACCTAACAATATGGCAATAGCGAATTCATAAAACAAACATGGAAAGGACGCACTCACGAAAGTTAATCTAAATCTGCCATCGTGTACATTTTTAATACATACAAATAGATCAATCATTACAAAATGTATCGGAATAAAAATGTTTTTAATAATTGCACAGTCAGATCCATCAGCACAATCGATCTGACCATTGTATCACAGACCGAGTTCAATACACACATTATCATTGCATCTGAACTTCTCACTGGCGCACGTGTATGTACCTAAAACAAGAAAAGAACATTTCCTGTTTTGAACAGAGACAGCAAATAATGTTATTTTGATATAAGTTTATTATTTCAGAGACAGCGCACATAGAGTCGTTCAAATATACCAATAAATGTCTTATATGAATAAAGTTTAGTAGAAAAGAGTACTGAATTATGTAGTGTGTAACGTCTGTTATAAAGGTTGCCCGGCCGGACAGTGGATAGCACATTTGCCTTTCACCAAAGCAGCCGGGGTTTGATTCCCCGACGGGCGTTTAATGATATGGGGTCATCTGCCGGACCATGCTAGTTTTTCCCTGATACTGAAGTTAATTAAAACACCTGCATAATTCCATCCGGGAAAACAAGTGTGAAAGATATAAGTTGATAAAATGTATTCCGAAAATGTTTTAGAGTAGTATCATATCATAAAAAAGTTGTTACAGTAATACATGTAAACCATTTGTCGACAGGTGACTATGTATTAGTTGTAACACTTGAACAGTCGGTATTACAGCCAAACTGGTCACTGGAATCCCGACAGTCACAATCTCCATCACAACGCCAGTTACACACCGTGAATTGCTACATCTAAACTGGTCTTCACGACAATCGGATTCAGATGAAATTCAAAACAAAACCTGATTATAAGTATTTTCTATAAAAGACCTATTGAATGATTTTTGTATTATTTGAGAGTAACATTATGGGGTTTTATTACTATTTTTGCCTACACTTTACTACATTTAAGCCACCTACAAAGTGTTAAATTCCACAATCGAATTCAATAGATTTGCATTCGATGAACGCCGTTAATTGATAAATGAGACAAAATTATTTCTTTATCAACGCTTGAGACATGTTGATCAGTTTAATGTCCGTTTACAATCCTATTTACACACCATAGAGACACACTTGATTCAATTATAACTGGTGTGATTGCTTATCTCTGCAATTTTACGTTACTGCATTTGTTGCTGCATTTTCGTCATAACTTTTTTCTTTTTTTTTCTTTACACACTGACATGCGATCAGAGAATGTTTCTTACATAAATCACATTCGGCCTCGTCGGCATCGGTCTCATGACAGTCTTTATTTCCGTCATATTTCCAGATACTAGGAATACAGTTGTTGTTGCCACAGTAGAATTGGTCTACAAGACATTGGTTGCCTGAGAAAACATGAACACTGTACATTTCATGGAGCACTATTAAATAAACGACTATGTAATAGGTGCAATGGGACGTGAGAACGAAATATAAATGTTAGAACGAAATATAAATGTTGTCAGAGGATAAAATATGATAAGTGGGTTACAAAGTACTAATTTGCTACATACAGATAATTTGGAACGTGAGAACGAAATGTAAATGTTATCAGAGGATGAATTAAGAAGTACTAATTTTGCTACATTCAGATAATTTGTTAATGTGACTAAGTCCCATAATTTCATTGTATGAAAGGTAGTGGCGATGAAATACACGACAACGTAATCTGGAAAGTCTGATATCAATCATGAGATCTGACTATCGATACGAAAATATTTGCAACAATTGAAAAATTAGAGCAAAATAAACTTTGATCACTTAGATGTCTGATCTTAAGTTCTCAAACTAAGAAGAGATAAGCTTATGAATTTCTTCTGGGAAATTAATGTTTGTACTGGTAATTAATTCGACCTTCCAAGAATTTTTCCGTCTTCTTGAAATTGCGATCAACTGCATGTTTATCGATGCTGGGAAATTCTTCATAAAACCTTTCGGCGGGTGACAGTCTAAGAGATCCAAATCCAAATCCAAATATTGGACAAATTAAGAGGTACCTTCAGATGGAACAGTTTACTACTTTATGTTTAAATCTCTGAAAGTTTATGACACGTTTAAATCAAAATACTACAGACATTTTTATAGTGATTTGCTCTCTACTATTTATATCCATCTACTTCACATGCTATATCAACATTTTGGCATACACACTGTGAACTATTGACGTTAATGTTTCCTCTATTTATATATCCTTAATTTTCTTTGTATACATGTATATTGATGTTTTTAGAGAATGCATCGGGGAAGGATATTTCTTGTTGCTAATTGTGTCACTTCTGTAAATAATACATTATTGTTTTAATTAGTATTTGCACTCTTCAGTTTCATCATGATTGTACTGGTAATTAATTCAACCTTCCAAGAACTTTTACCACAATACGCTGTGTAACATGTAGACTGTTTGATAAATACGAGTTATACACCATACGCGGTATATGACCTTCCGTAGTTTTGATTGGTCGAGAAGATGAACCATGACCGGACAACTTCTTTCACGCGCTTTTTGCCGTGTGCTGTTTTGTTACGTCGTCTGCTGTCAACATCAAGCAAATGTTGGTGACTTTTGTGAGGTTATGCGATGGGAAAGGGGGTTATTAAGACAATCTCAAAAGAAGATGATACTTAAAGATTTGATCGCTAGTTTCAGGCAAATTTGCTACAGACGCTCGATATCGTTTCGACGCAATACCGTCGCGTGTCCAGGTCGTGAAACCCAAACAAGATCTGTCACAGTGTCGGAAATTTTTTGTTATCACCACGTCCCGTGATCAATAGTTGGAGGGCCTATCTATGGCATAACTCTGACTATAAACGCCAACCATAGAACCGTCACAAAGAAATGTCCCAGGCCTATGGTTTTGGACATTGACAGCGATTAGTTCGTCTTCATCATTTGGCGGGAGGCAAACATCGTACGATATGCTTACGCGCATATAGTCTGTGGTTTATTTTTATATTAATTAATGCAATACTACATACTTTCAATATTTAAAGTCGTTCATTTATTATATTTTTCATGAAGTTGTTGCCGAAACATTAATTTGAAATTATTAAATTTGTGAGAAAAAATACATTTTTGAATATTAATGAGTGACTTTTTACATATGGGTCATATCACCACGCCAGCCTTGTCAACTAACACACGTGTGTGTGTAATACTCCAGCTGTTTCCGACTCAGGTTGTGGTAGAAACAGATCACACGACTCATGATTGTTGAATATGGTATTTATTTCTAAAGCTCGTGTCTTTTGTAACTTTTGAAAATTAACTCACTCGAGTGAAATAAATACCATATTCAACAACCACTCGTTGTGTAACCTATATATATATATACAGACAGTATATATTTTATTCAATTATTATACGCTCTGATTACAAACTTCCTTGTATTATACAAACATAGAGATTGATGTAGCTATATCATCTAGTTTAATAAATATGAGAATAATTTGGAATGATAACATCACATTATACAACTCAATGAGAAAATAAACGTCACTTACCTGTTATGTCGTGTGATTTGTTGTTCGGTCATAGACTTTTTAAGTATCCGATCGCGATCTGGATGTGTCCGTAATATTAAGCATATTAATATATTGCCTTTTTCTGGTTCTATCGAAGTTACCAAGCCTGTGTTATACGTTTACAGAATACCACAGATATTTTGCCGGCGATGTAACAATACTTTTAAATGTGTTACATGTATCAATAATGTATTATTTGGCAGTAGACATGCGCTTGTATATTCTGCTTGCCCTAAAAGACCTTGTTCTGTTTCCCAAAAAGCATATCCTATATTTCGAATGCAAACAAGTGAGCTATATTTGAATTATAGCTTAAGGCCACTACAAAACATGACATCAGCTGAGCATTGCTTGTTGATGACAAGAAAACGAGGCATTATGTTAGAAATATTTGCAAATGAAAAAAAAATATGATTTGATTATCTTGTTCACGATGTCTTACATGCACTATAAAAGAAAAGAAATCACTTTTCATCACTTTTTGACATGGTAGAATAGAAATTAAATCAACAAATGGTTGTATATTCTGGTGTGTGTCAGGCATAATTCAGTTCTAAAAAATGTTTGAAACATGTTTAAATCAGGGTAAGCGACTCTCCATTATTATTGTTATCAAACAATTCCTGACCATCAATGTACATTTCGCAATTATACACGAACATGATTATGTTTATTAATTTTTCAATCATTTACTATATACTCAAGATTGTAAAAGGAAGTAGGATTGTGGTACTGATATATGAACACTTACAAATAATGCGGTCTGCAGCTGTTTGTCAAAATGTAAGTTGAATAACATGCATATTCCAAAAGGAAACCCAGCATACTTTTTACACCGATGTGTTAATAGTCACTTCGAAACCAAATGACGCTGTTATCAATCCGAATTACATTCGCAGAGAACACTTAATCTAACTCTACAGAGGTACTGATATTGTTGACAGGGTTGTACGAAATAGTAAACATTCAAACTATCACGAACAAATGTTTTAATAATTGCTTGTTTATTCGTTCATAAAATGGTACTGTCACTCATACGTCTTCAAATAACAACGTTGAAATATTTGTTTACAAGAAAGTGTCGTGGTATAAAATAATTAGAATTTGTACATTTTGCGACAGGAAAAAGCATAGGTATAGAAGATGGGGATTACAAAAAGAACCTCCCTGCATCTTCGCGGGTAAATATTTCTGGAACAGCTACAACGGGTTTTTGCATGAAACGTTTAATATTATTTGTTCTTAAATCAAAATCCAATTTTTTGTAGACAATTTAGCATATCATTATACAATAGCAAAACTTTCATTAAAACTTGCATATGCAAACTTCATTGTAAGGATGAACGTTTGTTAAAGATGTGAAATTAGATACTAATAAATATCTTCAACTATAGTAATTCATTGCACTTACCCGCTGTCTCTGACACACATGTCTTTTGGTCAGAATCAAGTCGGTAAAGATTGCTAACAAGTGATGGCTCCTATAAAGTTGGTATTTGACACAGTATGCCAAAAAATAAAAATAAAGTGAAAATGAAAAGATAAAATGAATCGTTTCGTATTAAATGTTTAAAATATTTTGCTTATAGGGGAGTTTTTGGAGAGAGCGATAAATTCTATTTTCAAAACATAACAAGAGGCCAAGCGGGCCTGTATCGCTCACCTTGCTATTTAAGCAGTCAGAGCAAAATATTCCAACTTAATATTATACTGTACTACAAATATTTCAATCGCAAACCTTGTCGGCTCCATCTGTTGATGCTACCAGCCAAATAATAGTATATAATGGTATGCTTTTCGGTTCTTCTGCAGAGGTTATGGAAGTATTTGACATATTTGTCCCTGTGTACCTTGTAAGTAGGTCAAGGTAATTTTCCTTAACAAACTTTGTCGGTTCTATCCCAAGAAGCTACCAGCAAAATCTTATGAATCCATGCATTTTGGTTTTTAAGAACAAGTCGTTTGAAATGATGTTAACCTCTGTGACCTTTCAAGTACGTTATGGTCATTTCCATTCGGAAACTTTGGTGAGCTCTATCGCAAGAAGACACCAGTCAAATATTATGATGATATGCCTTTCAATTATTCAGAAGAAGTCGTCTGATGTATTTGACATATTTGACCCCGGTGACCTTGAAAGAAGGTCAAGGTCATGTTCATTCACAAACTTTATCGGCCTCAATCCAAAGAAGTTACCAGCAAATATTCAGTAGCTTTCAGTTCCTAACAAGAAGTCATTTGAAGTGTTGGAAATATTTGATCCCTTCATCTTCTTTCTCAAAATTTGTTGCGCTCTATTCCAAGAAGCTACCAGCCAAATATAAAGAATTCTCTACCTTTTAGTACTTAAAAAGAAGTCGTTTGAAGCATTCGACATAGTTGACCCCTGTGACCATGAAAGAGGGCAAGATCATTTCATTCTCAACCTTTGTCGGGCTCTATATCTAGAAGCCACCAGCTGAATATAATAATTGTATACCTTTCAGTTCTTCAGAAGAAGTCGTTTAAAGTGTTTGACATATTTGAACCCTGTGACCTTGAATGTAGGTAAAGGTAATTTGCATTCGCAATCTTTGTCGAGCATCACCCCAAGAAGCTACCAGCCAAATATTAAGATACTATAACTTTCAGTTCTTCAGGAGAAGCTATTTAATGTGTTTGACATGTTTGACCCCTCTGACCTTGAAAGTAGATCCTGGTTATTTTCATTCTCAAACTTTGTAAGGCTCCATCCCAGGAAGCTACCAGCCAAATATTAAAATTATATGCTTTTACATTATTCAGAAGAAGTTGTTAAAAGTGTTAACATGTTTGACCCCTGTGACCTTGCAGGAAGGTCAAGGTAGTTTTCATTCTCAAAGTGTGTCGTGCTCAATCCTAAGAAACTACCGACAGACGACGGACGCTGTGCCATGACATAAGCTCACTTGCCCTACGGGAAGGTCGACTTATAATTAACAAATCTTTCTGTGGAAGCTTACCGTTTTTCTGTACATTTTCATGGTAGACCCGAATGCCCATTGGGTTTAGAGGACTAACGGCGACCCGTTTGAATCCGTCACCTCTTAATTTGTTCACTTTGTTGATAGAATTTGTTCCCCAGTCAGTCCAGTATAGGTTATCCTCGAACAAAGTGATGGCAAATGGATGAGATATACTTTGGGTATCATGAAGAACTGTATAACCAGACCCACCATTTGTATCTACAGACTTGATCGCATCAAACTTAGCATCTATCCAATACAGGCGCTGATCTACGTAATCTGTAAAAGATGAAAAAGCATCATGAACCTTAAATCAAGGCACACCTTGTGTGTTCTACAATATCACAAATATCCCTTTCTTACCCAATGTAAGACCGTTTGGCCACGCCAGACCTTCATCAACAATAACACTCTGGTGCTTTCCGTTAAGTCCACAACGAGAAATCATAGGCTTCTTTCCCCAGTCGGTCCAGAACATCCATCTACAAGTAAAAGCATTATAATAGATCATGATCTAATTCCTCTTGCCCAACTTAAATGAACTCGTGAAATTAATTTATCACAGACACGTGACACCATCGTTTCTAAACATCGTAGTGTTTCAGATTCGTAGAACAAGACAATACAGGTAATTAAATTGAACGTGAGGGTCATGTAACTGCACGAGGCGTATATATGACTTGTCAATTGTAAAGTGGCGGTCCAGACACGGACAATATTGTATATGTGTAAATGTTTAAGAGCGCACATTGTTTTTGCAGGTTTCAATACAAAGCAAGAGTGATGGATGTTCTACCTGATTATGATAAAACAAACGGACCGTCAAAGGCCATACCCATACATTGGTGTTCAGTTTATACATTTTAAGTAACTATGTTTTTTAAATGTCATGTTTTCTTCATCTCGAAAGACTTACGGTAATGGATGTAGTCACTGTAAAAATCAAAGACATCAATTGGAATCTTCCCTACACCAATAGAACAATGTGCAGAGATGTCAATGAAAGCAATAATGAACTTTTATAGACTCTATTGCTCCTCCTCGAACTTCTATATGATTACACATCAGAAATAATGTTTCCCTTATTATCTGTCTGTTTACATACGATAAAACCCGAATAACGAAGAGGCCCAAAAGGCCTGTATCGCTCACCTGGATATATGTTTAAAGTACTTGATATGAAGCAAAGAAATAGCACTGCTTGGTAGGTACTGTATGTACATATGAACTTTCAGAAAGATCAATCCAGTATTTCTCGAGATATAGCAAGAACAAACTTAAAATGTCAAAATCCAAGATGGCGGCCTGGTGGTCATTTTGTTTTAATGAATACATCCTAATAGTAACAGGCACTACTAGACAACTTGATGGAGACAACATTGGGATAAAATCTTTAATTCCTATTGTAGGAGAAGGATTTCAAAGGTTTTACCTCTATTTCCACTATTAGGCCCCACTCCTCTGCCCTGGGGCCACACCCACCGTTTATACAAAATTGAGTGCATTTGACCAAAGGATCCTCCAAACCAAATTGGGATGAATTCCCTTAATCCCTATGGAAGAAGAAGGATTTTAAAGGTTTACCTCAATTTCATTTCATTTTTCATTTTCATTTCATTAAATTTTATTGAAAAATCAAAAGGATTGGACAACAGGCTATGCCTATATAAGTCCTCTCTTAGCCAGAATTACAAACAAATAAACTAGATATAGAAAGAAAGAGAGAGAAATGTTACATGAAGTAGTTACAGAAATAGTGATGCAATGGGAGTAACTTCCACAGAAGTTATAATTAAATAAATTAATAATAAATAAGCCTCATTTATTGTGACCAAGGAACCCCCAATGTTAGACAGCAAGAGATCCACAAGCAACTAGGGATTCTGACCATACAAAGTCCTTAGCCATACACTGGCTTAGGTCATTCACCCTAGCAGACCTTGGATCCTCGCCATGCAAAACTAGGAGATTTTTGGTAATACAATGTATATAGTTAAATATTTTCAGCAGAAGTCATCATTTTTATCATCATCATCCAACCACCTACATTCATCAATTTATTTTACCAATTTATAATATATATCCTTACGCTAGAAGAAGGCTTTTAAAATGGTTACCTCTATTTCCATTATTGGGGCCCTTTCCTATGCCCGAAGCGGAGCCACACTCACTGTTTATACAAAATTGAGTGCCCTTGGCCAAAGGGTCCTCCAAACCAAATCGGGATGAAATCCCTTAATCCCTATGGAAGAAGAAGGATTTTAAAGGTGTACCTCTATTTCCCCTATTCGGCCACACCTATCTGCCCCAAGGGGGGGCCACACCTACTGTTTATGTAAACTTGAGTTCCAGACCAAATTAGAATAAAATCCCTTGGTAGAAGTAGGATTTTAAAAGTTTAGCCTCTATTTCCCCTATTGGGCCTTCTACTCTGAACCAAGGGGGCCACACCCACCGTTTTTACAAACTTGAGTGTTCTTGGCCTAAGGATGCTTCAGACCGAATTGGGATGAAATCCCTGTATCCCTATGGTAAAAAAGGGATTTTAAAAGTTTATCTCTATCTCCCCTATTTGGCCCCACCCCTCAGTCCACAGGGGGTCCATACCCAACGTTTATACATCATTGAGTCATCTTGGCCCAAGGATGATCCAAACAAAATTGAGATGAAACCCCTGCATCCCTATGGTAGAAGAAAGGATTTTAAAAGTTTAACCTCTTTTTCCCCTATTGAGCCTTCTCCTCTGCCCCAAGGGGGGCAACACCCACCCTTTATACAAAATTGAGTGCTCTTGGCCTAAGGATGCTTCAGACTAAATTGGGATGAAAAGCCTCTATCCCTATGGTAGAAAAATAATTTTAAAAGTTTAGCTCTATTTCCCCTATTTGACCCAACCCCTAAGCCCCCAGGGGGTCAACACCCACCGTTAATACATCATTGAGTCCTCTTAGCCCAAGGATGATCCAAACAAAATTGAGATGAAATCCCTGCATCCCTATGGTAGAAGAAGGATTTTAAAGGTTTATCTCGACTTACCCTCTTCAGCACCATCCCTCTGCCCAAAGGGAGTCCACACCCACCATTTATACAACATTGAGTCCCTTTGGCCCAAGGATGCTCCAGACCAAATTGGGATAAAATCTCTTATTCACTATGGAAGAAGAAGGATTTTTAAAAGTTTACCTCTATTTCCCCTATTCGGTCACACCCCTCTGCCCCCAGGGAGGCCACACCTACCGTTTATACAACATTGAGACCCCCTGGCTAAAGGATAATCCAGACCAAATTAGGATAAAATCCCTAAACTCCTACGGTAGAAGAAGGATTTTAAAGGTTTACCTCGATTTCCCCTATTGGGCCCCACCTCTCTTCCCCCAGGGGGGGGGGGGGCACACCTACAGTTTATGCAAAATTGAGTTTCCTTTGCCAGAAGATGCTCCAGACCAAATTAGAATAAAATCCCTGGTTCCTATGGTAGAAGAAGGATTTTAAAAGTTTAACCTCTTTTTCCTCTATGCGGCCACACCCCTCTGCCCCCAGGGAGGCCACACCCACCGTTTATACATCATTGAGTCCTCTTGACCCAAGGATGCTCCAGACCAAATTGGAAAGAAATACCTTTATCCCTATGGTAGGAGAAGGATTTTAAAGGGTTACCTCTATTTCCCCTATTCGGCCCCATCTCTCTGCACCCAGGGGGCACACCTACAGTTTATGCAAAGTTTCCTTTGCCCAAAGATGCTCCGTTTATACAAAATTGAGTCCCCCTTGCCCAAGGATACTCCAGACCAAATAAGGATAAAATCCCTAAGCTCCTACGATAGAAGAAGGATTTTAAACGTTTAACCTCTATTTCCCCTATTCGGCCCCACCTCTCTGCCCCCAGGGGGGCACACCTACAGTTTATGCAAAGTTTCCTTTGCCCAAAGATGCTCCGTTTATACAAAATTGAGTGTTCTTGGCCTAAGGATGCTTCAGACTAAATTGGGATGAAAAGCCTTTATCCCGGGATATGGTAGAAAAAGAATTTTAAATGTTAAGCTCTATTTCCCCTATTTGGCCCAACCCCTCAGTCCCCAGGGGGTCCACACCCACCGTTAATACATCATTGAGTCATCTTGGCCCAAGGATGCTCCAAACAAAATTGAGATGAAATCCCTGCATCCCTAAGGTAGAAGAAGGATATTAAAGGTTAACCTCGATTAACCCTCTTCAGCACCATCCCTCTGCCCCCAGGGAGTCAACACCCACCATTTATACAACATTGAGTCCCCTTTGCCCAAGGATGATCCAGACCAATTTGTGATGAAATCTCTTATTCACTATGGAAGAAGAATGATTTTAAAAGTTTACCTCTATATCCCCTAATAGGCCACACCCCTCTGCCCGCAGGGAAGCCACACCCACCGTTTATACAACATTGAGTCCCCCTGGCTTAAGGAATACTCCAGACCAAATAAGGATAAAATCCCTAAACTCCTACGGTAGAAGAAGGATTTCAAATGTTTAACCTCTATTTCCCCTATTCGGCCCACCTCTCTGCCCCCAGGGGGCCACACATACTGTTTATGCAAAATTGAGATTCCTTTGCCCAAAGATGCTCCAGACAAAATTAGAATAAAATCCCCTGATCCCTATGGTAGAAAAAGGATTTTAAAAATTTAACCTCTTTTCCCCCTATTGAGCCCTCTCCTCTGCTCCAAGGGGAGCCACACCCACCGTTTATACATCATTGAGTCCTCTTGACCCAAGGATGCTCCAGACCAAATTGGGATGAAATCCCTTTATCTCTATGGTAGGAGAATGATTTTAAAGGGTTACCTCTATTTCCCCTTTTCGGCCTCACCCCTCTGACACCAGGGGGTCACACCAACCGTTTATACCAAATAGAGTCCCTTGGCCCAAGGACAAAATCCCGTAATTCCTACATTAGAATAAGGATTTTAAATGTTTAACCTCTATTTTCCCTATTTAGCCGCGCTCTTCTGTCCCCAGGAGTCTACACCCGCCGTTTATACAACATTGAGTCCCCTTGGCCTACGGGTGCTTCAGACCAAATTTAGTTAAAATCTACTAGGCCGTTCATGACAAGTAGCGTTTTAAAGGAACAGTTGACGGACGGACGACAGAAGCTGCGCCATGGCACAGGGCAGGAGCTAAAAACAAATGAGCCAAGAATATGAATACACCAACAACGGATGTTTAGGAGCTCACCCATGTAATGGATCAACAACAATGGCACGCGGTGCATCCAATCCTTCTGTGACAAGAATCCTACGCATTTTGCCATCATAGGTCGCAACCTCAATTTGATCAGCTGCAGAATTTACCCAATACACATGGTTATAAAGCCAGTCCACAGCAATGCCTTCCGGGGTCTTTATGTCGGAAACAATAACCATCTCATCAACTGCTGGGCCATTCACTATTTTTCTGGCAATGTTTGGCATTTAAAATGTATACTTCACGGTGTATATCATAGTTTTGCATTCATCTTATTATCATCTAAATATGTTTATCAAGACATTGAACATGATTTTTTATAATCGAAACTGAGAAAAAAGAAAGTTTGATTCATATGAATTGACTCATATGTTCATTGTCTTATCTGAATTATTGTGATACCAAAAGAAATCATGAGTTTTAATTTCATATTTTATGACATTCAAGAACGTTATTGATTCATATAGATAAAAATTACCGAAAGAGCTGGTTAGAGATAACATCGGTCCAGAAGAGGTAGCCATCATGATAGTCGAAGTCTATTGCAATTACATTGGACATGTTCCCGAAAACAATCTGCTCCAGCAACGTGTCTATTTGTAATGAACGGATATGTGATCGGTCGGCCCACAGCAGATACGGACGTATACCTGTATTAATCAAGGTCTTAAACTCAGTTATATGCAAATAGTTTCACAAATTGTAGGATCGGTTTCTTCAGATTCAAGAATATCAAGGTAAGCTTTATTCAGAGGAATATGACATTGTATAGCATTAAGAATCCCAGTATCACTACAAAAACCTATTTTTCTAACATGATTGCTTTGATAAATCCTTTCTAAAAAGAAACCCATGCCTTGTAGGATCTATAAAGATACATTAACAAGAAGATAATGGACAACAATGTTCTGAGTATAAATTGCAGCAGGGCTAGTTTTTTACAATAAAATGTGTTGAAATGAAAAATAAAATGTTATTATGTTCATTTTAAATTGCTGTTTGAGCTTGAACGATAAAATTTGCTTTACGTTGACATCAATTTTGTTGGTCAACCACATAAGTGTAATTTGTAGGCAAATACAGTATATATATTTGTAATGTACTTTGTAGGCAAAGCCAGTATATATATTTGTAATGTACTTTGTAGGCAATTACAGTATATATATTTGTAATGTACTTTGTAGGCAAATACGGTATATATATGTGTAATGTACTTTGTAGGCAAATACGGTATATATATGTGTAATGTACATTGTAGGTAAATACAGTATATATATGTGTAATGTACTTTGTAGGCAAATACGGTATGTATATGTGTAATGTACTTTGTAGGCAAATACAGTATATATATGTGTAATGTACTTTGTAGGCAAATACAGTATAAATATGTGTAATGTACTTTGTAGGCAAATACGGTATAAATATGTGTAATGTACTTGGTAGGCAAATACGGTATATATATTATATAATGTACTTTGTAGGCAAATACGGTATATATATTTGCAATGTACTTTGTAGGCAAATACAGTATAAATATGTGTAATGTACTTTGTAGGCAAATACAGTATAAATATGTGTAATGTACTTCGTTGGCAACTGACAGTTTTACTACACTTGGATTTTTGACTATCTAAACATTGAATTAAATTGTATATTTTTTAATATTAAGGAATTGGTACATATCTAAAATTGTTTACAATAAATTAATCGTCCTATTCGCTCAAGGTAGTCAAAATAGTAGCTCACATTTAATAGCTTCCGAAATTGTTGATTATGTTATAAATTGAAATATTTTCTGTATATATTACTTTTTTAATATTTAAACCACAATGAGGCGGGATCCAAATCGAATCTTTCTTTGCAATAAATGTGTCAACAGTTAAGTTATGACAATAATTAGTATAGATTAATATAGAGGTATGCATCATTTCTTATTAAGAGATGATTGATGTTTAAGTTCAAATAGCATCAAAAGACAAATTTCAAGCTCAATACCTAGATTTTTGTTTGGAATGTTAAACAAGTCGCGTGCGAGGACTATGCATTTTATTTCGGACTCTAGGAATAAATTCAGGATATGAAAACGTAGTTTGGTGATCCATTTTGGGTACTGTCACCTTATTACTCATTAGTTGTTAAACAATTGTAAATATAGCCAAACCGAAAATAAAAACCTGATTTGAAAATAAAATTATTGTTTTACCCATATGTTTTTAAAACATTACCTGAATACATATGATATCTATAATAAGACTATTTTTCTCTCAAAGTTTATTATCAAACACACGAACTCCGAACAGTCATATAGAATGATAAGATACAAATTACAATGTTGATATCACAGTATACAAACACACTATACAATCAGTCCTAACTAGAACTGTAAGCCAAAGGTTTACTAATACCCCCGCTCTTATATAAACCAGAACTATACGCTAAAGACTTACTTATGCAAATCAATATAGTCTCCCACCAGTAATGAGTTATGGTAATCACTATTTTATTAAAAACAAAATTAAAATAACAAAAAAATAAACAAGTATTTCGCACAAAGGGGCATAACTCCATCAAAAAGGGTCGAAATCCCAAATTAAAATGGCAGTGCACAACTACATAAGATACCGATCATTCCTGCAAAGTTTCAATGAAATCCACCTGTTAGTTAAGGAGGAGTTGCACGGACAAATATTTCGCAAAAAGGGGCATAACTCCATCAAAAAGGGTCGCAATCCAAATTAAAATGCCGGTGCACAACTACATAAGATACTGATCATTCTTGCAAAGTTTCAATGAAATCCACCTGTTAATGAAGGAGGAGTTTTCCGGACAAGTTACTGCGGAGGACAGACATCCAGTCATCCAGACAGGGTGATTCCAGTATACCCCCCAACTTCGTTGCGGGGGTATAATTGAAAATGACGTTTACCGTGATATTTCGTTGTAACTTGATCCTGCAAGATGTCATGACTTTTAAATTACCGCACAATTACGTCTAAAATTTAGTCTACAGTAGTTTTTTTATTTGTTTGATACGCCTTAAAACATATCTGTATTTGGAAAACCGATGTATTCGTTCCTGTCCGTGAAATACTCTGTGGATAATCAGAAATACGTGAAAAGTAAACACTTATTGGAAAATATTGCTTGTTGTAACAGAAAGCCAAACAAATGCGTTTGCTTGAGACAAATCAATCTTCTTTTAAAATGTTTAAATAATGAGAAATCAATGTTGTTAGTACACCTAATCGTGTAGAATATAGCAAAATCGGACAGTTCTTATCTAACCTTTTATAACGTTACAAGTTCAGGCTACACGAATTTGATTCTTAAACTAATATTTGTGAATTGTACCAAATTAAATTGAAGCTGCACGTCTGTGTATTTTCTGTCTTAAGTTGTACAAGTTATACTAAAAGTAGCATTTCATCTCCGACATTCCGACATACGGAGCAGTAACCCCTTAATTCCCTACCACTTACACATATCCGCCTTGAACTTCCTATCTCACTTCTCCTGCTGTATTTCTGCTTAAAGCTATGACCGAGATTACTTTTGTTTAGTTGTGGGGCTACTAGAGTAGAATGTATATAAATTGCACGTTACATTTACGTTACCAGTCTGATAAAATCCCAAGCATTGAATATAATAACCAATTGACTGAAAGGGGAAAAATATATTTGAATTAAGAAATGATGACGTCTAAGGCAATTTTGACTCTTAAGGTTCAAATTTGTTTTTTTACTTTTAACAGGTTTTTTGTTTTTTTAATTTTGTAATTTTTCGATGAAATGATATTGTGAATAACATGGGTGGTTTATTTTAATTCAAAGGCTTATTAGATCAGTGATTTGTCTCAGAATTCCTTTTATAAGATTTATGCAAGTAAAGTGATTTGTAATATCCGACGTACATTAAGTATATACAGGTATTACGATCAGACTACATGCCCACAAGCTGTAGTGTTATCGGCCAAATCTATATTTCGTGGTTCAAAAACTTACCGTTGTCTGGGACACATGTTACTGTTGAAATGACCAGAAGAACTGCTACTAGTCCAATTAGCCAATACAAGGACTTCATTTCCCAATTTTTCACAAACTGTTACTGAATTTCCTCGCGAACCGGGAATGTACAGCCTCCCTCTAACACAATAGATAGGCCACTCCGTTGTCATGACGACTTTCGATGGTTTGAGGACGTGACGTTAAATAGAAACGGAAGACGCTGCGGTATTACTTAAAGCAAACAACTTTCAAAAAGTATACGGTCATTGATTTTCTGTTTCTGAACGTCATAGGAAAAACAATTCTATATTTACGGAACTAATGAGAAACTGTTTTGTAGGGATGGCACACACTGACTGTTTGATACGTTACTTATCACTTATCACACCTGTAACGTCGTGGAGTGTGGTTCCAGTGTTAGTGTATTATATTTGATCAAAGGTATATTCTGGTTACTCCATCTTGGATCCGTCTGGTCCTGGCTCTTGGCTCCTTTGGTTGTTCTGATAACTACTCAACTTCAACAACAACTCGAGACAGAAATACAATTAAACTTTGATATTTAATCAAATCACAACTTCATATCTAGAAACACTGTACACAATGGCATCCTTAATTAATATATAATAGAAATTGAGAATAACGACGGAGTGCCGTTATAAATAAAAGTGATGAGTAAGTATCCTTAAAGGATACTTAAAAAATAGTAAGGGCTAAGTATCCTTAATATATTGTAACATTTTCGGACGTGGATTTACCGAAGTAGGTCTTAATATTGGAAAATGTTTTATCTAAAACCTTTCATAAATAATGATCATTAATTTATGTCTAAGTAAAATATACTAGTACAAAATAGCTAAGTATCACACGTGGTTAGGCGTTTAGGGGTTTAGCTGGACTTTGGTAATAAGCTTGGTTGCTTGGAATATGTAGGAGGGTAGGAAAGCCTGGCCGCTTGGTTAGGAGATCATGTGCGAACTCCGTTGAATCTGCCGCGGGATACTTTTATACTCTTCTCCAAAACTTCTGACCAATCAGAATTTAGTATACTCGGGTCTCTCGGCACGGAACACTTTAACTAAATGACTCAATAAAGCCCGAGAACACCGAACGCACATCTGCAATAGCGGATGAGTCGTCTGTTTGACAGGGTTCGCATAGCATAATCATGGATTACAACCAAAATACAACCAATCATGAGTGACAACATATCAACCTATAACGAGAATGTTCTCAACATACTAGGCTGTTGTATCTACGAGTCGGTACCGTAAGTGATTATTCCAGCCGTACGGAACAGAAACATGCGAGTACATGCGAGAGCATGATTCTAAATAAAGCGAACGACTGACGAAAACACATCACCGACTCGATGATCCTAAACTTGTAAACACGAACTGTTTTCAATCGAGACAATATTAAATGGTATCATAATTAGATAACTTGGAACTTAAAGACATTTACTATACAGTTTGATTATGATAATAAATGTAGTAGACAAATAACGAAGTTATTTATCAATACACAGACTATAGCAGGTAGGCAAAAGTACAGTCGTTACACACTCTTGTTTTATCATGTGTACAGAGGACAGGTGTAGGGGGCAGGGATGTGAGCGTTTGACAGGCACAGAGATGAGTGTATGCATGACGTGTTTTGGTAGTATACTGCAAACAGGTGTGAACACCTACGGTGTCTTGAAGGAAACATCTACCGGTTCATATTTAACCATATTTCATCATATTAACTTTCATTTCATTTCAACAAATTTTATTCATGATGTTGTGTGAATTGGATCGAACAACAATGATATTAACTTTAGGCCTTGCGGCCCATCAGTACATACATATGTTAATGCATTACATAATAAACGATGGCACGACAAACAGTGCAAAGTGACGAGTGAAGTACATACCCTGTACAGGTATGCTTAATTAAATTCTCAATTTATTTGCTTCCGAATTGTAATTACCAAGTTGACACAATTCCTTGGCGTTGTTAACACACAATATTTGTATATTTAAACATAGGTGTTCAGGATACGAGGTAAATGGGGATGCTAGACTGGAGACGAGTCCGCTGTCGTAGAAAGCACTAAGAAGGTCTGTCTATTTGGATTACTTTCAGTGGTGCGTACTTGACTGAATTGTTCCCAGCAGTGAACATGGCCGTCCCTTGTTCTTTGTGCCCGGAAGCATCGGCACATCAGCACAGGTGGCCGTTGGTTGTGTTACTTGAATTGATCGACATGGAAGTCATTTGGAGGTGTTTGATTTTCCATGGAATTACAGTTTGTGCTGAAGAAAAGAATATTTTAAGGAACATAATGGTTTTGCAAAACGGATGCGTCATTCAACCTTCACAGCCTTATACTGTAACTCGTAGACAGTGCAGCTGACAGGTCTTATACGTAACCTGAATATTTTGGTTCCTGAGGACCACCAGGTACCATTTTCTCTAGCTCTCCGTGCTAATTGGGATCCGTGGGTTGGGCTAAACAGTAGAACAGTACTAGTTTACAATCATACGTGTGATGTCTCGTCTCAGGAAATGTGACAAATCAGAAGATTCTGTGACGAAGATTAATCGAAACAGGAGTTATCATAGAAATCGTGTTCTCATAAGATGACTCATCAGAACCTAACGAGCCAGAAGCTTCAGAAAAATGGATATATGTAGAGTCCGTTCTTAATTTGTTACAAACCTGTCATATATGTTGACAAACGAACCAATGACATACACTTCGTCACATTTATATTTTATTGCGATACGTTTCTTATTGAAACACTTGTTTTAATAAAAACCCATCGCATTTGATGAATTGCATCTTTATATGAATCGTAACATAAAAACGGTATATTGATATGTATCATATTGTCAGAAAGTATATTGTGATATATATCGTATTTGTATGAGAATGGTGTGTGATACGTATCGTATTGTTATGAGAATGGTGTGTGATCGATACGTATCGTATCGTTATGAGAATGGTGTGTGATACCACTGTTACAAGAATGGTATTGTGATACATATCATAGTGTTATTCGGAATAAAATTGTGATGCGTTACATAGTATAATTAAGGACAGTATAACAACATGTGATATAGTTATAAAGGATTGAATTGGTGTATATATTGTATCGTTAGACTAAAATTGTGGTGCGTACCTTATTGTGGTAGGATTGATATCGCGATTCGTTCATAAAAAAACGGGATTGAGATGCATATCGTACTATTTTAAGAATGATACTGTGATACGTATCGTATTTAAGGATTAATATTGTGGTACGTATCTTATTGTTATAAGAACAGCGTTGTTAAACGTATTATATGACTATGAGAACGGTATTGTGGTACGTATCGTATTGTTATAAAAAATGGTATTGTGGTAATATTGTATCGTTATAAAATGGTATTGTGATACGTATCGTATTATTAGAGGAATGGTATTGTGGTACGTATTGTATTGATATATCAAAAAAGGATTGTTTTCCGAATCGTATTGTTACGAGAATGCTATTTTGGTAGATATTGCATTATTATTACGATGGTATTGCGATACTATTGTATTTGTAATATGAAAATGGTATTTTGGCACGTATAGTATAGTTGGAAGAGTATTGTTATACGTATTGTATTGCTATAAAACGGTATTGTTATACGTATTGAAAGGTTACGACAATGCTATTTTGGTACGTATTGCGTTGTTTTATCATATTACAGACCTGCGACCTTGGATGACAACTACATGTAAGTTATTTTTCACAATAGATATAGAAATCAATGTTAGTAATCTGCATTCTTTATGTCATGTCTCTATGCATTTTGGTTGTTCAGAAGGTGCAAAAAGCATATTTAAAAGGATTGTACCTCTATAACATTAAAACTGGTCAATATTATTATGTTATGAAACTTTGAAGCACGTGTTTTAACACATTCTACCCCTGTAGTGTAACATTGAGTACGGCTCATGGTCGTTTATTTGCACACACTTTGCATCATTTCAATCAAGGAAGTAACTGTCCAAATACAATGATTACAGGCCTTTTTGGCCAAATTGTTTTCCAAGTGACACTTTTTATAAACAGATTGTCATTCCTTCACAAACTTTGTAGCACATTTAAAATCACAAATGGTACTAAAAAATAAATATCAAAGCATCTGCATTCTGGTTCGTTACAAGAAGTGTTTACATGTTTTGCCCTAATTGAGCTTGCAGAAGGGACTGATAAATCTTAATAATTATCCCGCAGGGATACGTCCTACTTAATTTGGTTGCAATGTGACCAACACAAAGGTCAAGCGAGCTGAAAACAAGCAAGCATATAACTGACTCTTCTCTTCATTTTATCTCTATATGATCGCTTATCAAGTCGGTAGTCAACTTGATGCATATAGAAATCTCAGAATACACGCGTATACAGAATAGACAAGAGGCCCGATGGGTTTGTATTGCTAACCTATTATTTATTTTGTACCTATGACCTTCAAGGTCAATGTCACTTTCATTTTTAAGCGTCTTTAATATATATGCCTTTCATTCTTTCATTAGCTGTTTGATTTTTTTGATTTTTTTTTCAATATATTTGACCCCGGTGACCATTTTATTAGGTTGAGGTCATTAGTTAACTTTAAATTTGTTTGCTTCCATCCCACGTATGTATAAATCTACAATCATGACTCTTGGCCTTAAATATCTTCAAAAGAAGTCATTTCAAGTTTGTTTACCACAATGAAATTGATCAAGCCAAAGGTCATTTTTTTCTCAAACTTTGTCAGGCTTCGTCCCTGGATGTTAAAGCCAAATATATCATCATCTGATGCATTCCGCTTGTCCAAAAGACCTTTTGGCATAATTGACTCCTGCGAATCGAACATGAAAGTAGGTCTAGGGCATTTCTATCTGTAACCGTTATTTGACTCTATCTCAGAAGACCGTTTGGTTCTCCAGAAGAAGTCCTTTGAAGTTTTTGATATAGTTGACATCTGTGAGCTTGAAAGTAGGCTCAAGTCATTTTTATTTGAAAACTAACAGCCATATATCAAGACTCTCGGCCTTTCAGTTCTTCAGATAAAGTCATTCAAAGAACAACTTGACACACACCAGATAGAAGGACGGACGACACACGCTGCGTCACTTGCATTTGGGGTAGCTACTGTAAG